TCACACAAGATTGTTAATAATTCATTTACGGCAGTTAAATTAACCTAACATTGTCCCACTCTGGGAAAAGACCGTGGAAAGTGCAGTCATCATATCATCATCACATCACCGAGACAATTTTCTCGCAACGCAGGATGCATTTTGTGTTTATTTATCATGTGTTTGTTTGGGATAAGCTGGGGACAGTCCACGATATAAACTCTCGAAGCTAATTGTTTTAAAGTAACCAGTCACTTGGATCATGGCATAATTTATATCATTCGTATTTCGGGTATTTCTGATGGCATAAACGAAGAAATGATAGTGCCGCTCTTGTTAAAACAGAATAAGCATATTTTTTCTGTTTCCTCGCAATGTGTTCTCGTGAAACTTCTGCCGGTAAAAAATCATCCGAAAATTTTTCAAGTAATTTTGCAGGTTGATGTCACATCTTACAGAAATGCTTTAAGTCTCGGTCACTGTCTGATTGGTTTGGATGGCTGCAACATCTATGATGCCGTTGATGTCATACGGTGTTATAGGTGTAATGGCTACAATCATTCTGTAAAAACATGTAAAAAAAGTATTTCTTGTCCGAGGTGTTCCGAGGCGCATGTGCTACAGGATTGTCAAGCCACAAGTGAGCAACTCAAGTGCGTAAACTGTACCAGTATTAAATCAAAAGATAACTTGAGCACTGAGGAGACTTCCCATGCTTGCTGGGATTATACACATTGTGTGTTTTATAAAAATTTAATCAAAAAAGTAAAGTCTGACTTGTTTGGTATATCTGATTTGTAGCAATTAACTTCTTTTGCTGCTTCTAGATTGATATCTGCTAAAAGTTTTAATTTCCCTATTGATCATCAGTCTCACAAAAGTCATTCTATTCTGTCTTGCTATTGTCAGTTCACGAGGGAAAGTAACACTAAACTAATTAATATTTTACCTAATTGTTTGTCTTGTCTTCAACAGCATGGCAATATCACTTCTTCCTATTCTCAGATTTCCATTTATTATCAGAATGTTCGAGGCATCAACACTAAATTAGTTGATTTTTATAATTCTATGTTTTCTTGTGAATATGACATTGTATGCTTGTCGGAAACATGGCTTAATACTTCGGTCCTAAACTCTGAAATTTGTCCAGGTCACTTCCACATAGTTAGAGCTGATAGAAATTTTGAAAAAATGAATGTTTCCCGAGGAGGTGGAGTTCTATTAGCAGCTCGTCAACCAGTTGCAGTCTATAGTTTAGATTTGTCATCAAAAGGCTTTAATGACTTACAGTTTACAGACTTATTAGGTGTCAAATGTTCTTTGGGACAGGTATCTTTATACATTTTTGTGGTTTATATTCAACCGGGCGCATGTACTGATGAATTTGAATTGTTATTCGACTTACTTGGGAACTTGCCTGATCTTTACAATCGAAAAGTTATTATAGTAGGAGATTTCAATATTTCGGATTATGATTTTACTTCATCTAGAGCTAGCAACTGCAGCAGAAAATCTTCTATTCTTCAAAATTTTCTACAATTTGGCGAGTATCAGCAGTATAATAATGTTGGCAATATTAATGGTCGTTGTCTCGATCTCGTAATCTCCAATTTCAATTGCACTGTACAAAAATCTGCTGACCCTATGTTGAAAGAAGATAACCACCACCCATCCCTCCTAATTACTTCCACCATACGTGATAATAAATTGAAACATATTAACACCAATAATTCCCAGCCGAAACAGTGGAACTTTCGGAAAGCTGATTTCCCGAGTTTATATAAATCTATAAATGATACTGACTGGTCTAGTCTTAAGAATATGCACAATGTCAATACTGCGTGCTCGTATCTGCATGACAAGATAAATACTGCAATCAACTCGCATGTACCAAAATCTAGTTATAGACGTAACTCAAATTTTCCATCCTGGTTTACTCCAGTTATTATTGGTAAGCTGAAGCGCAAGTGGAAGTTATTACGTAAATTCAGACAAACTGGGAACACGGAAACTCATGATGAGTTTAAAAGAATTAGAACTGAAATTAAGAAGGACGTTAAAACAGCATATAGTAGTTATATATTGAATTTGGAATCTAATATCAAATCTAATCCGGGTAAATTTTGGTCACATGTTAACAATTTAAAGAACTGTAATGGTATTCCCTCTCAGATGTCATACTCTAACAGTCTTTTAACAAATCCTTATGATATTGTAAATGCATTTGCGGAACATTTCTGTAGCAACTTCAATCTAAACAAGGGTCCCACAGCTATCGCTGACGCTTATTCAGAGGATTCGTTTAGTAATAATATTATCTGTCCTAATATTTCTGAATCTGATGTACTGTGGGCTTTAAAGAAAATTAAACCTAACTTTACATCTGGTCATGATAGGATTCCAGCTTTTCTGCTGTTCGACTGTGCATCCATTTTAGCTTTTCCTCTTATGATAATATTCTATCTAATTTTTCGAACTAGTGTGTTCCCAGATGTGTGGAAATTGTCTATCATCTCACCTATCTTTAAATCTGGAAATAGAACTATGATTGAAAATTATCGGCCTATATCGTTAATCTGTAATTTTGCGAAAATTTTTGAGACTATTCTACATAAATTTATCTCATTTAATACCCGGAGTTTAATCACTGTGTCTCAGCATGGATTTGTTAATGGACGATCTACCACCTCCAATCTCTGCGAATTCACGCAGTTTGTAGCTGATAATCTTGACGCTAAACGCCAGGTGGATGTGGCCTATACAGATTTTTCTAAGGCTTTTGACAAATTAGATCATGGCCTTTTACTTGTAAAACTGCGAAATTTCGACTTCTCAAGTGCCCTGTTTGACTTAATCAGTTCCTATTTATCCAACAGAGTTCAAGTTGTAAATTATAATGGCTATGAATCCTCCAAAACTGTTGTCTCTTCTGGAGTCCCACAGGGTTCTATATTGGGGCCGCTATTTTTTGTTATCTACATCAATGACGTTGTTAGGGATATCAAATCAAATGTTCTCATGTATGCTGATGATCTAAAAATATTCAGAGAAGTTAATTCATTCGAAGACTGCTTGTTACTACAAAATGATCTTCACACATTTCACAACTGGAGTAATTCCAATCTACTACCTGTAAATTATGCTAAGTGTTACATCATGTCGTTTACTAACAAGACATCTTTAATATCGTATGGTTATACCCTTAATAACGGTATACTAACTAGAGTTGATACTTTTCGTGATCTGGGTGTTACATTCGATTCGAGGCTTACTTTCGCTGACCATATAAGTAATATTTGTTCAGGAGCACTAAAATCTCTTGGTTTTATTATGAGATGTGGTAAAATTTTTAATCACATTAGCTGCCTTCGTACTCTTTACTTTGCGTATGTCCGCTCTAAGCTGGAGTATGCTAGTGTGGTTTGGTCCACATTTTCCCGTATTCATATTGAATCCTTGGAGAAAATACAACGTCGGTTTCTTAAATACTTAGTATTTAAAGTTGATGGCATATATCCTGAGCGAGGTATCTCTCATACCCTTCTTTTAGAACGCTTTCAATTTCAAAGCCTAGATAGTAGACGAGTAAATGCGTCCATGTCCTTTCTGCGAAAACTTATTCATTTTCAATTTGACTGTCCTAATCTACTTGATAGATTATACTTTTTGGTTCCCAGATTGGCATCGAGATCTTGTCCCTGTTTTTACTTGTCCACTCCTCGTTTAAATATCACAAAACACTCACCTATTTATGAAATGTGCACCCAGTACAACACTCACCAGAATGATTTTGATATTTTTAGGTAGTTACTTTAGACTTCTTTAACTTGGTATGTGGTTATATAGTATGCGTATTTCTAAATCCGCTGTGTCTCTGTATCCCAATGGGTACTGCAGTAATATTAGCTGTTGTTAACAGAGTTGTTTCATCTAAAGCCAAAGTTTTTCCCGTTGGTCTGTAATTGGGTTGTAATACCTGTTGGCCAACGTAACTAATAATAATAACTAATAATAATTTAACATCATGTAAATTCCTTGTTTGAATCGTTGATAAAGTGTGGCATCATTTAATATCTTGTAAATTCTTTGTCAGAATCGTTGATAAAATGTGGCAAATATTAACCTCATGTCATTTTGTTAAGCTTTGCAATTTTTTTCTATATCGCAATTTTAGCCTCAGTAATTTTCTTTGCTGTATAATTTAAATTGAACGTAAATTTTCATGCTCTGCAGTTCCTAACCTCAGGTAATATTTTTGTCTGCACAAGTTTTATTTCACACCAGATCTTTTTTGTTTTATAAATCTTTGCTAGATTTTTTCTCATGTAAATATTTTGTTCATTAATGCTTCCATTATATGAATTGTCTGACGTCCAATCTCAATCTCAGATCAGAATTCCTTGCTGTTTAAAATTTCAAGAGAGTGTATGGCGAATTTAAAATGTTGTTTATTGTCTTTAGAAACAACACTTGTTCAGTTGTAGTTTAATATCAGAGTTATCGAAAATGAACATTTAAATGTAATTGAGGTAAATAACACAGAAACACGTGGCAGGAGCGGAGGGCGCGGTTCCTAGTCGAGCTGGCGGGATTTATCGCGCCATCTACACAAAAGACGCAGGCCTAGAACGGAAGTCAGGGGAGCAGTCTGGATGTCGTGACGCTCGCGGCTTGTTCCAATAGCCGGTATTTCCAACCACGAGTTTGCGACCATAACGGCCTGTTAGTGCGGCACGTTTCTTCGTGATAGGCGGCATGTGCTTGCCGATAGAGTAGAATCACCGTCGTGGTAGGAGAACAGCCACAACCAGGAGCCCCAAACTTCGCTCGTATGACAACGCCCCCTATGGGTAATTTTGCTGTGCTCTAGAATGAAACTGATATAGCTACACTCTTATAACGCTCCGATGCCGCTGTCGCTGCATCCAGTTTTTATTAAATTTTGTTCACTTGTTGACTGCCATAATTTTAAATGTACCGCCACACGTCCGTAATACAATACAATAAATATTTGTTTTCAGGTTGAGTAATGGCGCTCCCAGCAACAAAGTAATCCTCGGCATACCCACTTACGGTCGTGCCTGGACCATGGACGACGAATCCGACATCAACGGTATCCCGCCACTCCACATCGACGGTGCTGCCGAACCCGGACCGTGGACAAAACACGCCGGTCTGCTCAGCTACCCCGAAGTGTGCTCCCTGCTCAGCAATCCCGACAATACCAAACAAGCCAAACACTTACAAGTCAAACGAATCCCTGATCCTTCCAAACGCAAGGGATCTTACGTTTTCAGGATCGTCGATGAAAATAACAACGGCGGATTCTGGGTGGGTTATGAAGATAGCGACACTGTGGGATACAAGGCTAGCTATGCTAAAGCCAAAGGCTTGGGAGGGGTTGCAATGGTCGATCTGAGTTTGGATGACTTCAAAGGAACTTGTGGAAGAGATAAATATGATTTATTGAGAGTGGCAAAAATGAATTTCTAGACTTTATATTCATCTATATTGAACAATAAAAAAGTAGATGTATAATAATTATTTAAATAAACAATAACCGACAATGCGGTTTTTAATAATTTTTATTGTGGTGGCCACCACGATTTGGCTTCCGATTGGGGAAAATTGCAGATTTGGCTCCTTTCTTGTTATTGATTTTACGATTATTCTGCAAAAAATATTAAATTTTAGTTTTTCACTATTTAATACGCACTAATTATTATTTGCGCAATTCCTTACACATTTTACCACCAAAATATAGAATATTTTTCTTACAAAATTTCTAACACGAATTTTGGTAGTAATTTTCGGAGTAAATCTGTGACATATAAAACGGCCCTTACGGACTATGAGGTAAGGCATTCAAAATTTATAAAGTACAGCGTTCGGCATTTACAAAGCATAGCGTCCGACGTTCATAAAGTAATACCATAGATTTTGCAAAACCACCCTTGACATTGGAGTCCTCAACCGCCAAAGACAAGCGCCAAATTTAAATAGTCGATGCTAATAAAAAAAACTTGTTTCACTACAACTCGTCGCCTGAGAACTTGTTTGATCTACAGACCAGACCGCGCTCAGGCCAATGTCGACTCTAATCGTTCAGAAGCGATTTGGTTCGTTTGGACTATAATTTCTCCAGGAAATAGTTGTTTGATCGATTTTTATAACGACTAAATGAATATTTTTGGTACATATTTAGATGATTTTACATATTTTGTTTAACTAAGAATTAATTCTTTATTTGTGTTTTATACTAGCAAAACGTCTTAAACTAAGAATATTGTTGAAATCGTAATAACCCAGTGGATTTTTTTCGGGAAAATGTTTTGGAAACACTGTTCCATTTTGATGAATTTTTAAATGTAAAATCGAAACACTGAAAAATCGAAATATCGAAGAACTGAAAATCGAAAAAATGTAAAATTCAAAAATCTAAAATTCAAAAACCGAATAACGAAAAATCGAGAAATCGAAACTCCCAAATTTAAAAAATCGGATAACTGAAAAATCAAAACATCGAAAAACCGAGAAATCGAAAAATCAAAAGATCAAGAAATGGTGAAGTCGAAAAGTCGTACAATTGAGAAACCGAAATAGACCAAAATCGAAAAATCGAAAAGTTAAAAATTGAACAATTTATAAATTGAGAAATTGACAATCAAAATATCGAAAAATCCAAATCTCGATAAATCGAGAAATCAAAAAACTTAAAAATTTGAAAAATTGAAGAATTGAGAGATTGAAAGATCAAAAGAACGAGAAATCGAAAAGTGATGAAGTCGAAAAATCGAAAAATAGAGAAATCGACAAACAAAAAGTTAAAAGTTGAAAAATTGGAAAAGCGGAAAAATCAAAAAACGAAAAATTGGAAAACTGGAAAAACTGAGAAACCGAAATAAGCCAACATAAACAATTGAAAAACTGATAAATCGAAAACCCGAACAATCAAATCTCGATAAATCGGGAATGAAAAATTAACAAATCCAAAAACTGAAAAACAAAACATCTTTTAGATGTTCCTGGTTTTACCAGGAAGTCGAAAAATCGAAAGGTTAAGAAATATTGAAAAATTAAAATTTCAAAAGATTGAAAAATCTAAAATTTAAAAATCCAAAAATTGAAAAATCGAAAAAGTAAAAAGGTAGACACATCGAAAAATCCAGAAGTCAAAAATTGAAGAGCCGAAGAGTTGAAATATTGAAAAATCCTAAACTGAAATATCTAAAAACAGAAAAATCGAAAAATCAAAAAAGTGAAGTCGAAAAATAGAAACCTTAAAAAATCGAAAAACTGAAAAATCAAAAACCCGAAAAATCAAAAAATTAAAGAATTGAAGAACTGGAAAATAGAAACACTCCAAGGTCAAGAAATGGGAAAATCAAAACATCGATTAATTGAAAAATCGAAAAATTGAGAGTTTATGAAAGTCAAATTTGAAAAATTAAAAAATCGAAAATTTGACAAAATGACAGTTAAAAAACAGAAAATCTAAAACTGGGAAGTCGAAAAATCAAAAGATTAAGAAATCGAAACATTTGAAAAATTCGAAAACTTGAAAAATTCAAATATCGAAGAACTGAACTGAAAAATCGAGAAATCGAAAAATCTAAAATTTAAAATTGAAAAATTGAAAAATCTAAAAAGTAAAATAATCGACACATCGAAAAATCCAGGAGTCAAAAATCGAAAAGACGAAAAATCGAAATATTGAAAAATCCTAAAACTGAGATATCGAAAAACTGAAACATCCAAAAGCTGAGAACCTAAAAAGTCGAAAAATCGAAACCTTAAAAAAACTAAAAAATGAAAAATCGAAAAATTAAAGAATTGAAGAACAGGAATATCGAAACCCTCGGAAGTCAAGAAATCAAAACATCGATTAATTGTAAAATCGAAAAATTGACAGTTTATAAATGCCAAATTTGAAAAATTGAAAAATCGAAAATTTGAAAAAACGACAATTGAAAAACAGAAAATCTAAAACCGGGAAGTCGAAAAATCGATAGATTAAGAAATCAAAACATTTGAAAAATTCGAAAACATGAAAAACGGAAATATCGAAGAACTGAAATGAAAAATCGAGAAATCGAACATTTGAAACATTGAAATATGGAAGAGCTGAAATGAAAAATCTAATATTGAAAAATTAAAATACCAAAAAAATTGAGAAATCTAAAATTTAAAAATCGAAAAAGTAAAAAGTCAACACATCGAAAAATTCAGAAGTCAAAAATGAAAAAGTCGAAGAACAGAAATATTGAAAAATCCCAAAACTGAAATATGGAAAAACTGAAAAATGAAAGAAAAACTGAAAAATCCCAAAAATGAAATATCCAAAAATGGAGAACCTAAAGAATCGAAAAAGTGAGAAATCGAAAAATCAAAAAAGTGAAGTCGAAATATCGAAACCTTAAAAAAATCGAAAAATTGAAAAATCAAAAACCTGCAAAATCGTAAGATCGAAAAATTGAATAATAAGTAAACTGAAAAATCCCAAAACTGAGAAATTAAAAAATTGAAAAATTAAGAAATCGAAAAATAGAAAAATTGAAAAACTAAAAATCTGAAAAATCAATCAATTGAAAAAACGACAAATAAAAATAAAAGTCAAAAATTGAAAAATCGAAATATTTAAAAATCGTAAAATTGAAGAGAAAAACTGAAAACCGAGAAATCGAAAAATTGAGAAATTGTAAAATCCAAAAATTGAATAATAAATAGGACTAAACTGAAAAGTCCCCAAACTAAACTTTCGAAAAACTGAGAATTCGAATGTTGAAACAGCAACAAATTATGGTCGAAACCGGTTAGGACATGTATCAGATCACGGATCATGGCTTATAAATCAAATCGTTTCCGAACGCTTAGAGTCGACATTGGCCTGAGTGCGCTCTGGTCTGTAGATCAAACAAGTTCTCAGACGACGAACTGTAATTCGTGTGATCTGAATTAAAGTGAAGGAAACAGTAAGCAGCTTGTAATATTCTGGTAAGTCTAGTGTCAATTTGTCGAAAGTAAAACGCGTCGTTAAAAATATTATGACATTTTTTCTATTGTAGTTAATTTTATTCCTAGTTAGAAATAAACACTGTTGCCAACATAAGTCGAGGAATCTATGTTCTCTGGTAATACGTTCGTCCGCACTGCTAACATAACGTTTAAAAAATCTGTTTGTATAAGGTAAAAAATCAGGGCGGATTTATAAACCACACCAATAGAGGTATGTTATTTTGTAAAATTTAAATAGCATTTACAACCAAAATTTTCAAGTGGCTTCATCAAAGTATTGTAACCGCGTCTGTCGACCGACTGGCTACTTTACCTTATAGCTATTTCTTTATTGTGCTTTACATAATTAAAAACCCGAAAAACATCATTTTCTAACTTTAATTCAATACAAAAATAAGTATTTTGACAACGCATTTCGTAACATTTAAATTTAAAAACTTACCTTCTGTTTAAAATTGTGCTTAACCTGCACGCCACTGTTGGCACTTCCGGCGCCTCCTTGAAACTGCCGGAAGTCAACCGACGCATAATCGTACGGAGTAAAGTTGACATTTTCGTTACTCTTAGTAAAATTCTGTTTTGGCTTATTATAGTACTGTTGATTTGGCATTTGGCCACCCTTCTGTTTCTTATTTTGCTTTTTACCTTTCTTGTTCTGATGCGCTTGATTTTGATTAAAATATTGAGCACCCATTTGTCCACCTCCATAATTTTTTTCTTCTTTAATTTCTCGCTTATAATTCTGATTTTGACTATTCTGACTAATTTGTTGATTATTCTTTGCCTGTTGTTGCTTACGCTGATTTCGATTTTTATTAAATTTCTTTTTCTTTTGGTGAACTTCTTGCTTCTGTTCGTGGGTATTATCACTAATTTCGTCAAATTTTCTTTTCTTTCCTTTGTTTCTACGACCATAAAATTGAGAATTATGGTTCATGTTGGGTCTAGGACAATGGAAATTCGTTTCTGCGGGTAGTGCGTCTTCTGCGTAGTCAAATTCATCTTCTCTTTTTCTTTTGTTGCTACCGCCCATTTCCATCAGAGAAAGCTGCTTCTGACGTTCTTCCTCTTTATCTTCTATCTCTTTCTGGGCTTGTAGCTCTGCACTGAACTTTCTAGACAGCTGGACAAAGTGATCCCTTATCGAAGCTATTCTTTCTTCATCCGTTCTCTCCTCAGTTTTATCGTCCTTCGTACCGCTTGTACTTTCTACATTTTTCTTGGTTTCTTCTTGTTGTGCTTGTGCCGCTTGATCCTCAGCCACAACAAAAGGCTTCACTAATTTATAACGTTCGTATGGACTGAAATACGCAAAGCCTCGAAGTTTCTTGAAGGTTTTGCGTTCATTAAAAACATCAGTATCACTCGAATCGTCAAAAATGGAGTAAGAAGAAGGTTTCTCGATAGCTACACTGACGTTAGCTACAGTTCGAATGTCTGATTGAAATTGTTCATTATCCAATAAAGTTGGTAAATCGTCTCGAAACTCGGGAGTTTTTGACAAGTCGTGTGGACAATGCAGAGCACTATCTACATTCACCTTAGAGACTTTTTTCAAGACACCACGTCCAGTCGTGTCTTTCATAATAGCCTAAAACCGAGAAATATAATCTACAGACTGTTATCAACCAAATTTACCTACCTTCTCCAATGGTTGTTCACGAGCCTTTAAAATAATCTGATGCAATTGAAGCAAATTAGACCTTACCAAAGGTGGGACAGGATTGCAACAAGCTAAAATGCCCTGCATTTCTCGAGGCAGATTTTCAGAAATCTGAAGCATCATATGATTTGGCAATACATATCTACAAGAAAAAAACTGACGAGAATGGTTTTTTTTTTTAAACAAAAACTTACACCGGGCTTTCATCTTCCTCCCGTGCCAAATTATCGCGCCAAGCAAAAATCTCCTTCAAAGCATACAACTGGCGATTATCAAACATTTTTTTACACTTCCTGTATATAGTCAAGTGGCTGTCGTCGTGTAAAATCGGTTTGAAATATCTCTAACGAAAACAAAAACAAACGATAAAACGAAATAAACTATAAGACTTCTTACTTTTTTGCAAATCTCAGTGCTGCGATCTATTACTGATTTCAGAAAATTGTCGGCTTTATTAGCTTTCGACAGTAACTCTTTCTTCAGCATTTTGTAGATATAAATCAAATAATGAGTATCTTCTCTGGCGTACTGTTTCAATTCATCCGGCAGCGGCCTTATTCTCCAATCGGCCAACTGGAATTGTTTATTTGGAAGAATATTGCAAAATTTCTTCATCAAGAAAGCCAACGATAACGCCTGATATTGCAACAGTTTGGCCGCTTGGTGAGTATCAAACATGTTAACAACGTAAAGGGATAAATCTCTTTGTAACCATTCAATATCGTTATCTGCTCCATGAAATATCTTAACGATCGTATTTTTAGTGAAAACTTCATTAAGTACGTGAAGTTTGTCACGTAAAAGTAACGTGTCTATAAGATAATCTTTGTCTTGAGTCGATATTTGTAGAAGACAAGTGATTCCCATGAATGATCTGTATGAATGGTGTTCTACATCGACGGCGAATTCTTTGCAGGAGCGCAAAGTTTCTACTAACTCATCGAGTTGTTCAGCTGTGGTTATTTCTATCAAAGGAGTTTCTGACGGAGGTTTTGGTGGTTCGGATTTTTCGTCAACCAGCTGTGCGGGTGTAGGAGCAAACCGAAATAATTCAAACTCGTAAGGATGAGAAAACCTGAAATTGAAGCAAATGATGCACAAATGTTACGTTTAAAAAAAAGTTTGTTAATAAGTGAAATTCAAGAGTTTTAGTTCTGTCAGGCTACACATGGAGAAAAAAAAAGTTATAAAAAAAGTTCAATCGAATTTTTCTGTGAAATAATTTAAAAAATATATATAAAAATGAGAAACAAATCACACAAATTTGTAAATAGAACTGTTGAAATTTCTTTTCGGAAAAATATAACATCACAATGAATTCAGAAAAAAACTACAAAAATCTGAAAAAATTTACACGATGTCATAAAAAAAAAGTTGAATGTGGTAGACAAAACAAACGAACGTTAAATGTTAATTAATTAATGAAATTGTACCATATTTAAAACGACTTAATTAGACGTCACATAATACTGTACTCTTAAAAGATAAGAAAGCTACAGGCCTGTTTTTTTTTCAAAAAAATATAAAAATCTAAATAAAACCTAAAAACTACTCAAAATTCTCTTCTGCCATTTTTAAATCATCAATATTCGTGAGTTTATTCTAGTTCCTATTATCTGCCCGTAATAAATTTGTTCAATGCAGATTCATTTTTGTCAAAAAAATTAGCCTAGTGTAAGATTTAGAATTGCATCTCAAAAAGTTCTCGTTCCGAATTCAAAATTTTATGTAATAACGCAAGAAATGTTGGTTTTTGTCCACTTTAGTCTAGCTATGGGATTATGAAAACCCTCAAAGAGAAGGTGGAGAAGTATAACACCCCTCGCTGCTGGGTGCTAGGTACCGACAACACTTTTGCAGGCAATACCTAGTACTTATAAATCACTAGTTCATTGAACTATTTTCAGGCAGCACAACGCTAATTTATATTATTAAAACCACGATCTTTGGTAACAGGGTCGAAATCCCATAACCCAAAAAATCGAAAATATCCAACCAATTCAAAAAAATACAAAAAATGAAAGCACTTACAAAAAACAAAAATGCAAAAAATAGAAGCAACCCAAGAAACTCAAAAAACTCAAGAAATCCAATAATTCAAAAAATCCAAAAATGGGAAATATGCCAAAAATCCAAAAAATCAGAAAACAAAAAAATTAACAAAATTCCAAAAAAAATCTAAAAATAAAATAAATCCAAAAAATCCATAAAATTCAAAAAACCCAAGAAATGCGAGAAATCAAAGAAACTTCAGAAAGGACGGCAGACAGACGGACAGACGGACAGACAGACAGACAGACAGACGGAAACGGGAGACCTATTTCTTCGTCCTCTAGGGGTCATATAAGGTCGAGAAAATGCAAAAGTAGGGAGTCGGCCGACGGACTCGATTACAATACTTCCTTTCCTTGGGCTCGGGAAGTAAAAATTAAATATCCAAAAACTGAAGTGAAAATCCAAAAAACTAAAAAATGCAAGAAACCCAAAAAACTAAAAAAAACTCAAGAAATCCAATAATTCCAATAAACAAAAAATTGAAAATATCCAAAAAGATCAGAAAATAAAAAACAAAATTAAAATGATTCAAAAAAAGTTCGAAAAGAATTAATAAATCCAAAAAAAATCTAGAAAAAATCCAAACAATTCAAAAAACCCAAAAAACGAAGAACTCCAAAGAAGCCAAGAAACTCAAAAAATCCAAAAAAAAAACATAAAATTCAACAAAACTCAAAAAATGCGAGAAACTCAAGAAATCCAATAACCCCAAAAATCGAAAACATTAAAAAAATTTAAAAAAGTATAAAAAAACAAAGCATTAAAAAACGAAAATGTAAAAAATACAAGAAATCCAAGAAACTCAAAAAAACTCAAGAAATCCAATAAATTCAAAAATGAAAAATAAAATATATAATTATTCAAAAAAAAGCTGGAAAAAAATTAATAGATTTAATAAATCCAAAAAAATATCTAAAAAAATCCATAAAATTTTAAAAACACAAAAAATGTAAGAAACTCAAGAAATCCAATAACCCCAAAAATCGAAAACATCAAAAAAATTCAAAAAAGTACAAAAAACAAAGCATTAAAAACCAAAATTTAAAAATACAAGAAACCCAAGAAACTCAAAAAAACTCAAGAAATCCAATAAATTCAAAATTGAAAAATAAAAAACTTTCAAAAAACCTAAACAACTGAATAAATAAAAAATAAAAACAAAAAAAATTAAAAGAATAAAATTCCACAATCAAAACATCTAAAAAATCTAAAAATCCGAAAAAAGACAAAATTAAAGAAATCCAAAAAATCCATAAAATTCAAAAAACCAAGGAAATGCAAAAAACGGAAAAAACTCAACAATAATCCAAAAAATCAAAGATATTCAAAAAATACAGAAAATTAAATAATTTTAAAAATCCAAAGAACTAAAAATTCGAAAAACCCAAAAAACTAAAAAAACTCAAGAAATCCAATAATTCCAAAAAACCAAAAAATGAAAAGTATCCCAAAAAATCCAAAAAAATCAGAAAATAAAGAAAAAAATAAAATTATTCAAAAAAAAGCTCGAACAGAATTAATAAATCTAATAAATCCAAAAAAAAATCTAAAAAAAAACAAAAAAATCCATAAAATTTTAAAAACCCAAAAAATGCAAGAAACTCAAGAAATCCAATAACCCCAAAAATCGAAAACATCAAAAAAGTACAAAAAAACAAAGCATTAAAAAACGAAAATGTAAAAAACACAAGAAACCCAAGAAACTCAAAAAAACTCAAGAAATCCAATAAATTCAAAAATGAATAATAAAAAACTTTCAAAAAACCTAAACAACTGAATAAATAAAAAATAAAAACAAAAAAATTAAAAGAACAAACTTCCACAAAAATATCAAAACATCTAAAAAATCTAAAAATCCGAAAAAAGACAACATTAAAAAAATCCAAAAAATCCATAAAATTCAAAAAACCAAAGAAATGCAAGAAACGGAAAAAACTCAAGAAATCCAATAATCCAAAAAATCAAAGATATTCAAAAAATACAGAAAATTAAATAATTTTTAAAATCCTAAGAACTAAAAATTCGAGAAACCCAAAAAACTAAAAAAACTCAAGAAATCCAATAATTCCAAAAAACCAAAAAACGAAAAATATCCCAAAAAATCCAAAAAATCAGAAAATAAAAAATATATATAATTATTCAAAAAAAAGCTCGAAAAGAATTAATAAATCTAATAAATCCAAAAAAATTTAAAAAAAACAAAAAAAAAATCCATAAAATTTAAAAACCCAAAAAATGCAAGAAACTCAAGAAATCCAATAACCCCAAAAATCGAAAACATCTAAAAAAATCAAAAAAGTACAAAAAACAAAGCATTAAAAAACGAAAATGTAAAAAATACAAGAAACCCAAGAAAGTCAAAAAAACTCAAGAAATCCAATAAATTCAAAAATGACAAACAAAAAACTTTCAAAAAACCTAAACTGAATAAATAAAAAATAAAAACAAAAAAATTAAAAGAACAAAATTCCACAAATATCAAAACATCTAAAAAGTCTAAAAATCCGAAAAAAGACAAAATTAAAGAAATCCAAAAAAATCCAAAAAATCAGAAAATAAAGAAAAAAATAAAATTATTCAAAAAAAGCTCGAAAAGAATTAATAAATCTAATAAATCCAAAAAAAATCTTAAAAAAACAAAAAAATCCATAAAATTTAAAAAACCCAAAAAATGCAAGAAACTCAAGAAATCCAATAACACCAAAAATCGAAAATATCCAAAAAAACAAAGCATTAACAAAATAAACGAAAATGTAAAAAACACAAGAAACCCAAGAAACTCAAGAAATCCAATAAATCCAAAAATGAAAAATATCCCAAAAATCCAAAAAATCAGACAATAAAAAAACAAAACAAAAATTCAAAAAATCTAAACTGAATAAATAAAAAAAAAATCTAAAAGAACAAAATTCCACAAAAATCAAAACATCTAAAAAATCTAAAAATCCGAAAAGAAACAAAATTAAAGAAATCCAATAATCCAAAAAATCAAAGATACCTATTCAAAAAATACAAAAATTTTTAAAATCCAAAAAACTAAAAAACCCAAGAAACGCAAAAATCTAAAAAAATAAAGAAACCCAATGTGGGGTGATCAGGTGATTGAAACAGCACTTGCGTTTTGGCGTATTTATTTTGATGTCGGTACGGCGGTTGAAGGAAGATTCTTGGAGTTTGTGAAATTGAAATGAAAAGAAAGGCCGGTAGAAAGCGGTGGAAACAGTTGGGTCTAAAGGGTTCTTGGAAGGTATTTTGAAATCTGGGAAAGGATAAGTATTACTGAGAAGGGTGAACAAAATATAGGTTTTACGGCATGCAGGTGGACGAAGAAAAAGTTTTGGGGTGATACTGGGAAGTAATTAAATACAGATTATATACAAATATACAAATGCTATACAATTTTGTGGGACTTGACAGCCCCCACACCAATAATTCCAAAAATCCAAGAAATGAAAAATATCCCAAAAAAGCCAAATATCAGGGAATAAAAAAAACAAAAAAGAATATTCAAAAAAAGAAAAAAATTAATAAATGCAATGAGTTAAAAACAACAAAAAATTTAAAAGAAAAATTCCAAAAAACAAGCCAAGAAACTCGAAAAATCAAATAATTCCAAAAATCCAAAAAAACTAAAAAATCCAAGAAACCCAAAATACTAAAAAAAATTCCAGAAACCCAAACATGGAAAACAACAATACAAAAAACGAAGAAGTCCAAAGAAGCCAAGAAATTCAAGAAATCCAATAATTCCAAAAATTCAAAAATCGTATATGCAAAAAATTCAAAAAATTAAAAATCTAAAAAATATAAAATTTCAAAAAATCAAAACATCTAAAAAATCTAAAAATAATAAAAACGAAAAATCCAAAGAAAACCAAGAAATCCATCTCACAAGATAATTTCCTATTTAAAGTGCATAAAATACTGCGGATCTGCATTATTTTGTGGCTCATCATTAATTTCTTTTTAAAATCCGTGGAAATAAAATTAGTTCTTCTGGACTTCTGCAATAAATGCAATCAATAAAAGAATATGCCAGGGGGACTTTTTTTAAGTATCAAAAACTAAACGGATGTAACACGGGTATTGACCCTTTTCCTGTAAGATCGTAAAACTTCCATCGTGACTTTCCGTGCGCACGCATCTTCAAAACCACGTTGGAAATAGTATCCGGCACTCCGGCAGCAGAGCAAAGGCCTGTGACCACAGTATAGACAACAGTCAGTATGGACAACTCGTGTCGGCACCTTTGATCTTTTTGACCCGAATTTTAAGCCGTCATCGGTGGTCGTTGTCCAAAATATTTCTAGATGTCGCCACCTAATTTAAAAAGGATCACAAACGCTTCATTTTAAAATTGATTCGTGTACACAATTTACTACACTTTGTGCAAATGAATTTTTGGAAAAGAGTTAAAAATAGTGTAATAACAATAACATTTTATAACTAGTTGATCTTAGAAACCACACAGTCTATTATAATAAATAATTAATTAAGCGCCCTATAACAGGGATGCCATGTTGAAATTTAGATGTGGCCCGCTTCTCTGATTACGATTTTACGTTTCATTAATTTCTTTTTCATGATGGCTGTAAATGGTTGTAAAATTCAACGTTATTAGAAAATGCTAATATATGTACATTTAATTTTTTTACAAAAAAAAAAAACAGTAAACAATGGTCCTATGAAAACGTGAACAACGCTTTTTAAAATGTCTGTGTGAAAATTACACTTAACTGCAATAATTACACCGGAAGATCAGCCTTAAATCATCAAAACCAATGCAACTAAACTGCCAAATTTCAAATATTTCACAATTCGCATTAACGTCACTAGATAACAAAAGTACCGCAGTTCAATGTCCCAATGTGTAAGAAAGAGAAGTACCTTGCGTTGCGCGCCCTCATACGGTCACAAGACAAAAGACCACCCATGAAAACGGGTCAGTAAAAACAGCGAGTTGTCTCTACTGATTGATATCTATACTGTGCTGTGACAACAAACCGCTTTGACAGAATGCAACCGGCTACACATGCGTAATCTGTCGCTCATTGGTTAATTTTAACTTGGCGCTCCAAAAATCTGACTTCGCCTGCGCGATGTTGTCTCACTCTGTATCATTGGAATTTATATAATGTCTACTCACTTTGCTTACAGGAAAAGGGTCAATTATTTGAAGTTTATACCCTTGATACATAAATAACTTTTCCAGCAACAAACCGCCTTCCAGTGCTTTTGCAGCATCCACAACATGTTCAGGAACAAAAACGCTCGCTACTTTACCAATATGTTCCACAATAATTATTATTAATAGTACGTAACAAACGAATGACATTCAGGTTTTGCTTTTAAAATGTTTTGTTTACTGCCATTCGCTATAGCAACCGTAAACAGATTATTCAATTCAAAATTTAGTTAAGATTATTTGAATAATGTTTGCTATTAATTAATTCTTTGTTAAACTTTATTACTACTTATGAAAAAAAAAGTGTTCACCACGATGACCACCTAGGTTATTTTTTTATCTAGAAGCTTGTGGTGGACATTTTGAGAATTTATTGCATTAGTTTTGTTATGTTAATATTGATTTTACGTATAAAAATTTATTTTTTACAAGTTTAATTAGCTGTATTTTTAGTGATAATATAATTTGGAGTCTATTGTCGACACATGTGACGTTTCTCAAAATTAGATAACTCGATATTAAAAAATTATTCAACTGCAAAGTTCGCGAACTATCCTGTTAGACGGTATTTTGGGTTGCATAAATACTATTATTAATTTGGACACTATTCATAAATCACCCTGTATAATATGATGACAGCGAAGTTGTTTGATTAGTATCAATGAATCGAGTGATTGATAAAATACCACTACAAGCACCTTCTGTAGTCCATAGGACCAATTAGTATCAAAATAAAAAAAATAACTTTTTAAATTTTTAAAATCTTAGATTCAACCAGTTAACTTAAAAATAAATTGTGTGTATCTGCTTAATATAATATCATATGTAATAAAAAACAGCTCATATAGAATTTGAGCTTGGTATTTAGAACACAAAACAATAACGCAGAAGTGTTAATCATATAGCTTTCATGTTATAGATTAAATTGCCTGAACCAATTCCTGTTTTCAGTGGTTTCTTAACTTTCATAAAATATTATCAGTTCAATTACTTACTCTTGCCGGTCCTCACATTCTTCCAAGAATATTGCCAACGGCTTAAGTGAATTAGGTTTATCTGTAATCCTTGGAAACCAAGGAACTTTATTCCTATTATCAACTTTATCCTTGAAAAGCTTTTGGGGCCTTATAATATTCTTTGCTGTTATCAGTTTAATACAATTCTTTTCAGTGGTCTAAAACAACAAGGTTAATTTCCATTGCAAAAAGTTCAAGTATTAATTACTTGTGAAACTGTTGAATTAACAGTAAACGTAGCGACACTTGGCCTGTTCCAAGACCCATTAATAGGTAGCTCTGCTCTAACAGTCTGTAACTCAACAGGCGCAGCAACTGTCTTACGTATCCCATTCAATTCATCAACGTTATTCGCAACCTTCTCAAGAATTGTATCATTCGCCTCTATAATCAATTCAATTTTCTCATCCAAAACCCTGTTTCTGATATTGCTATCCATTTCATTGCATCGCATTACTTGGTTCATTAGATGCAACACAGAACTCCCTTCTGCATTTATAATTTTTTTAAAGGAATCCGATGTGTTATAAAAATCCCAGTCGCGAGCTGATGGTAACGCATTTGAGTGTTTTATAGCTTCCATTAACGTTTTAAAGCCATCCTGAAAAAGCACGTTCAAGACATAACCTCCAAAATTATCATAATTTATCAAACCTTTGTGAACTGTTCAACAGAACTGTAACCAGGGATAAGTTCTGCAGTTTTTGTTGTTGGGGATGGAGTTTCATCACACTCACGACTTTCTTCACACATTTTTCTTCTAGGTATGTGATACTATTTTTATAAATTTTTACCAACAATTGACAGACGACATACGAGCAGAACGACAGTCACAAACGCGCATGCGTACAAACGTACGTCAGCGTTTAAAATAAATGTCAATTTAAAACTTTTTGGTACAATTTTAAAGTGAAATATTCCTTCTGCACCATTAAGCCATAAGTTACGCCACATATTTGGACTATAAAAATGAAAAAAATCTCCTCGTGTAAGACAAAGTTAAAAATTCGCAACAAGTTACATGATACGCTCGACTGCGTTCCACGATGCCTCCCACTTTGGAAGCAAATTTTGATTTATCGAACACTTTTACATTGCCGGTGGCTTCTCAAACCACCTAAAATTGTCTTCCGAATTGTTGGACAAGAGTGGACAACTTCCAAACAAGAGCAACAGGTCATCAACAATAAAGCTTAGTTAAATTTTGCAACTCCCGTTTTGAAAAGGTCGTGAAGAAATGTAAAATTAATGATTATTCAAGACACGTAAGCACGCAAAAATTTCAATTATTTGCATTTGCAATTAGTGCCTCGAGCAATTTTCACGTTGTTTCTAATGTTTTAGCAAAATGTCACCAGAATACACTGAAATGGTAGCGGCGATAGCCTTTGGTGTTTTGTCAGCGATATTTGTGAGTGCGTTTGTGGTTCTTATAATAATATGTCGAAGACAAAGGCTCTACTACAAGTCAACATATCTGGATAGTCAGAATGAACTGTCACGGTAGGGTTACAACACTGAACAAAATTTGGTTAGTACTGTTGTTGTTATAGCCCTGAAGTTATGCTAATTGAACCAGAGAAAGCTGAACTTGAGCTGGGTGAAGTACAATTGAATCCAAACCTTGAACAAATTCTAGCTGATGAACAATGGATAGATGATGCCACTGGTTTGATTCCACATTGTTTATCAATTTTAAAAACTTGTAGGTTCTTAACAGAACGTTTAACAGCGTTAGCTATGGGTACAACACAAGCCTCTGGCAGTGGTTTGTCACTGATAGTAGAAGTAAGCAACTCAGTAGTTAAATGTGTTTTAACTATAAGCCATATTTCTAGAGCGCAAAAAGAATCTCCAGTAGAGTTGATGACATGGTGCGCAGTATGTACCCACCTTTAGATCCTAGACTTTTGGAAGCTAGAGCTGCTGCGCTGTCTCTGGCTGTAAGTCATCTAGCGCTCATTGCTAAGTATGAATGTGGACAAAGAGATAAGAGTTTTACTTGGATTGATAAGTCTTTAGCTGAGATGGATGGCCATATGGTGGTATGTAAGCAAAGAGATTTGTATTTTGATTGTAGTCACTGGTTTTTAGGTTTTGAGGGAAGCTGCTCTCACTCAAGAAGCTTCAAGTAAAATCCAAAATGCGTTAAATACAAATTACAACACTAGTCTTTAATAAAAAGTGGTCAAAGTGGTGATTAATTAAAACACATATTTGCACCACATAAAATTATAACATGATTATATTGTTGAAAGGTGTTAATTTTGTTTTGGTATGCTGTGAAGAGATAAGGTCATTTAATTTTTTCAACTGGAACCACCAGGTTTTTTTTCAGTTTTATAACTAAACAAATATTTACAGTAATGGTTCTTTGTTGTAATTCAGGTACAAAAAAAGAGGTTGTTTTTCACGCCGACATTAATTTCTTGAGAAAATATTGACTCACTATGACGCACCTCTCGATTAAATCATTCAATCGTGGTTTCTTATCAAATTAACAAAAAAAATTAACGCCTACCATAATAAAATTTTATGTGGATGCAATTTAAAATAGCGAAGTAGTCCACGTATTTGTAAAGTTTATACTTATTTCGGATGTTAAGTCTTTTATCGTTCTTTTCTATATTTTATAGTTTATTGTAGAGTTTATAATGTAAATACTAGTTTTCCATGACAAAGTCCTAACTCTTATAATGATAGTGTTTATAAATTAGAAATGTCTGTCACACAAGGTGGGCCTTTTGCCGCCTTGTCGAAACTAGCTGGAACTAGATCGTCACATTGACGTTACGTGTCATTTTACGGCCAGTAGTTAACGTTTCTGTAAAGGTAAGCGGCAAATTTAATTTCCAGTGCCAGGTTCATGTGACAAACATTTAAGGTGGCTCCGCAAGTGTCTTGTTTTGTTTTACTGCCGTCAGATGTCTCTGACATTCTACTTTCCCTTTTTCCCTGGATCCCAAACCCGTTGCTGACTTATTTTTTCGAGCATTGTGTTATGTCAAATTAAATCGCTAAAAAATCCCAAACTTGCCAACAAAAATTTTAGCATGAAGTAACTAGATTTGTATACGCAAATAATTGTGTTAATACATTCAACAGCCGTTTTGACACAAAAGTTAAATTAATTTTTACCATAAGTTTTCAGCAAAATAAGAGATCATGATATCGTCGCCTGAAAACTTGTTTGATCTATAACCCGGAGCGCGCTCACGCCAGTGTCGACTCTTAAGCGTTCAGAGGCGATTTGATTGGTTTGGAACATGATTTCTGAAGGAAATAGTTTGGTCGGATTTTATAACGAATAAGTGAAGATTTTTGGTACATATTTAGATAGTTTTATTTACATGTCACTCGATTTTGACATACAACTATTTTTTTATTTAACTAACAATTAACTCTTTAATTGTGTTTTATAAAAGGTCTTAAATTAACAATATTGTTGAAATTGTAATAATCCAATGAATTTTTTTCGGGAAAACGTAGTTATTTTTATGGTTGTTTTCGATACATTGTGTGAAAAAAATGAAAATTTGAAAAATCGAGAAATTGAACAATCAAAACGTTGAAACATCCAAATGTTAATAAATGGAAAAATTTTAAAAATTGAAATAATTGAAGAATCAAAAGATCGAGAAATTAAAAAGTCGAAAAATTAAGAAACCAAAATCGAAAAAAAGGAAAGTGAATAGTTAAAAGCTGAAAAATTGGGAAATCGAAAAATCTAAAAGCGGAAAAATAAAAAAAATGGAAAACCTGAGAAACCGAACACGTCAAAATAAAAATCGAAAAGTTATACATTGAAAAACTGAACAATCAAAATATCGAAACATCCAAATCTCGATAAATCGGGAAACCAAAACATTGAAAAATAGAAACATTTTAAAAATGAAAAATTAAAAAATCGATAATCTGAAAAAACGAAAGATTGAAAAACAGAAAATCTAAAGCGGGAACTAAAAAATTAAGAAATCGAAATATTTGAAAAATTGAAATGTCGAAGAACTGAAATGAAAAATCAAGAAATCGAAAAATCTAAAATTTTAAAAATTGAAAATTTATAAATTCAAAAAATCGAAAAAGTACAAAAATCGACACATCGAAAAATCAATAAGTCAAAAATCGCAAAATTGAAGACGAGGAATTGAAAAAACGTAAAACTGAAACATCGGAAAATTGAGAAATTGTAAAATCGAAAAATTGAAAAGGAAATGATCTGAAAAATCCCAAAACAGAAATTTTGAAAAATTATTCGATTACGAAATCGAACCATTTGTAAAATTGAAATATCGAAGAACTAAAATGAAAAATCGAGAAATCGAAAAAGTAAAAAATCGACACATCGAAAAATCAAGTCAAAAATCGAGAAGTCGAAGTAGCGAAATATTGAAAAATACCAAAACTGAAATATCCAAAAACTGAGAATCTGAAAAATTGAGAAATCAAAAAAGTGAAGTCGAAAAAAATTGAAAAATCAAAAACCTGAAAATGGAAATATTGAAGAACTGGAAAATCAAAACAGTCGAAAGTCTAGAAATGGGAAAATCCAAACATCGATTCATTGAAAAATCGAAAAATTGAGAATTTAGAAAAATCAAAAATTGATAAATTGAAAGTTCGAAAAATTGAAAAATGAAAGAAAAACTGAAGAATGGAAAAACTGAAATATCCAAAAACTGAGAAATAAAAAAGTCAAAAAGTAGAATCGAAAAATCAAAAACTTAAAAAATTGAAAAATGGAAAAAATGGGATAAACGTAAAATTGAAACATCGAAAAATTGAAAAATTGAAAAAAAGTAAAATCGAAAAATTGAAAAAGAAATGATCTGAAAAATCTCAAAACAGACATTTCGAAAAATTGAAAAATGAAAGAAAACCTGAAGAATGGAAAAACTGAAACATCCAAAAACTGAGAAATTAAAAAAATGACAAATTGAGAAATAAAAAGGTCAAAAAAGTGGAGTCGAAAAATCGAAACTTTAAAAAATTGAAAAATTGTAAAAATTGGAAAAACGTACAACTGAAAATCCTGAAATTAAAAAATCGAAAATTGAAAAACAGAAAATCTAAAACTCGAAAAATTAAGAAATCGAACCACTTGAAAAATCAAGTCGAAAATCCAAAAGTCGAAGAAGTGAAATATTGAAAAATCCCAAAACTGAGAATCTGAAAAATTGAGAAATCAAAAAAGTTAAGTCGAAAAAAAATTGAAAAGTCAAAAACCTGAAAATGGAAATATTGAAGAACTGGAAAATCGAAACAGTCGAAAGTCAAGAAATGGGAAAATCCAAACATCGATTCATTGAAAAACCGAAAAATTGAGAATTTAGAAAAATCAAAAATTGATAAATTGAAAAAACGTAAAACTAAAACATGCGAAAATTGAGATATTGTAAAATTGTAAAAAAATTTAAAAAGAAATAATCTGAAAAATCCCAAAACTGAAAGTTCGAAAAATTGAAAAATGAAAGAAAAACTGAAGAATGGAAAAAGTGAAAAATCCCAATACTGGAATATTCAAAAACTGAAAAACTGAAATCGAAAAATCAGAAAAGTGAAGTCGAAAAATCGAAATATTTAAGAATCGTAAAATTGAAGAGTTGAAAAATTGAAAAAACGTAAAACTGAAACATTGGAAAAACTGAAAATCGGTAAGTTGAAAAATTCAAAAATTGTAAAATCCAAAAATTGAATAATACATTGACTGGCAAAAAAACGGCCACCCTGAAAAATTTCGCAAAATCACTTTAAAAATTATTAATTTAACTAATGGTCGTTATTTTAGTATTCACTATTGACACATGTTATACAAGTGAGCAAAAAAAAGAAGACATATAAACGCAGAATTAAATTTAACAAACTAACAGAAACAGATCAAGTACGAAATCTTCTTAATTAAAACAATAAAGGAGGGTGTTGTTGTAAACAGTGTTTTTCATCATTTGATTATAAGTTTAGCAGTTAATGAACGTTTTCACGTGAAAACAATGCCGTTAGCTCTTACAGACGTCTCTCAAATTGTCACTGTTTCTGTTATTTTGTTAAATTAAATTTAATTCTGTGTTTACTTGTCTTCTTTTTTTGCTGATTTATACATCATGTGTCAATAGTGAATAGTTCTTTAATAAAATAATTTAGAATCGACATCGCTGTGGTCTGTGGATCGAACAAGTTCTCAGGCGACGATACATCAATGAATTTAGAACAAACTACAGAAATCTATAAAAAATGCATAGGGTGTCATTAAAAAAAAGCTGAATGTGGTAGACAAAAACAAATGAAGGTTAAATATTAATTAATCAAATCGTAGCATATTTAAAACGATTTAATGTGACGTCACACAATGCTGTACTCTAAAAATAAGACAGCTGCAGGACTGTTTTTTTTTAACAAAAAACAAAATTAACTTAAAATATATAAATCTAAATAAAACCTAAAACTACTATAAATTTTTCTGCAAAAAATTAATTGCAATAATTTATTGTTACGATTTTTTTTCATACGTACTATAGCACGTAACAGTATTGTTGGTATCCAGCAGCGAGGAGATTGATTAGGTATCGGTCTTATTATGATGATTATACAGTGTGTTGCCGGAGCTACTGCGAAATATCAGATTTTCGAAAAGAACCAAAGTGTAAAATAAATACAGCTTAGAAAAATTTTTAAATTTAACTTTAAAAATTTGTTTTTTTTTTATGATGATCCGTATGAACTAAAATGTTACACATATAATTAATGTGTGGATTATTAAACTAGAGGTTACAAAGCATCATACGTATATGTTTCTAGCGAGTTTTATCATATAAAATTTTTCTGATGATGTCATCAACATTTTAGCAAGGACACGTATATCCATTAGAACAGGTGCTAGTGGAATGCTATGAATAACAGTACTGTATCCTCAAATTTTCGGGAAAATGGGATAGGTAATAAAACATGTCGCCTTTTTTTTTGTCACTGTATAAGTACTTCTAAAAATGGTGGGGATAATTAGCTAAACTTTGGTTAGGATTTTACCATTTACATGATATTCCCAATATATGTACATGTAAAATTTCACAACAATCGGTTTGGTAGTTCCAGAGATGCTTTGTCTATTAAAAAACGACACAGATGGGAAACGGGAAACTTCTTTTTTCGTACTCTAGGGGTCATGAAACGTCGAGAAAACATAAAAGTAGCCAGCAGCCCGATGGACTCGATTACAATACTTCCTTAGCATACGCTCGGAAAGTAAAAGATATAAAAAACGGATAACTGGAACGATATTTCGTCATTTAAATGTATACAAACGTTTACTTTTTACTTTTCGTTCCGACATTTCGTCTTGTGAATATTGATCTACAAAAAATACTGCTTCCCATCTAAAACCTGCCCGCACTAAATTTATTAAATACAGATTCATTTTTGTCAAAAAAAAAAACAGTTGGTGCCACCATAAGCCACCTGTATACGCAAATAAAAAAACTAAAATTAAATTTAAACTGTTTTAATTGCTCTTTAAATACGTCAAAAGTAGTGAGTGTACCCATTCTGATGTTAGTACATGCAAAACGCAAAGTAAATCAACAGTTGATAATCTTTAAACAATAAATTAATTTCATCTAAAAACTGTACAAGTCGAAAGAACTCGTGTTTCTATCAGAAAAATAATTTACTATCAAAAACCTTTTAGAATTCGCTTGACAAGTTATTTCCGCTTCGCGTTATCCCTCAGGATCCTAGTCTTCAAGTGCTCCTTGTATTCAAGAATAGTACCGTTCCATTTTGTAACGGCTTCTTTTTCGCACACCCAAATTTCATTAGCGACCTACAACACGCGTGATTATTTATCTCCAAAACAAGACTCGTTGACTTGACTTTACCTGACTGATCAGTCTGAAATCGTGACTGACTAGTACCATACCTCCTTCAAAATCGTTAATAGCTTCTGCTAACGCGTCGATCGTTTCCATATCCAAATGATTAGTAGGTTCATCAAACAGCAGCAAATGAGGAGCTTGCCATGCCAGCCAAGCAAAAACGACCCTACACCTCTGCCCATCTGACAACTGCCGAATCGGACACACTTGTTGACGTCCTGTTAAACCATACCTTCCAATAATTTTTCTCATTTCTTCTTTTTCTTTGACTTCAGGGAAAGACTTCATCATGTACTCCAAAGGTGACAAATCCAAATCCAGAAGCTCGTGCAGATGCTGGTGATACCTGGCGATTCTCAAATGAGAGTTCTTCCTGATCATGCCCTCAGTAGGTACCAACTGAAAATTTTTCATGACGAAAAGTGCCGCCTACTATATTCGGAAACTTACATCTCCGTAGAGAAGCTTCAACAGAGTACTTTTCCCTGCGCCGTTAGGACCCACTAAGGCTAACCTCGTGTCTAGATCGATACCAAATTCCAGATTCCTATAAATCCAAGGTCCTTTATCAGTATACCGAAAACTGACGTTCTGCACCATAATCACTGGCGGTGGTATTTTTCCGCAACTAGGGAAGTAGAAAGTGACGATTTTATCGTTTACTACTTTTTCGGTTAGGCCAGCCGCAACCATTTTTGCTAGAGTTTTTTCTTTGGACTGAGCTTGTCGGGCCAATTTTGCCGAACCGTGACCGAATCTGGCGATGTAATTCTGAAAATTGGAAGCGAAAAATTAAGCAAGTCTGTGCGTAGACAGTGACGATTTACTTTCATGTGATTAATCTGGTCCTGTTCCCAATTATATTGTTTCATTTGATTTTCTAACAATTCCATTCGCGTGCGAACAAACGCGTCGTAATTTCCCGTGTAATACTTGAGACGTTTCTTGTTGACGTGGATGATGTTTGTACAAACGCCGTTCAGGAAATCTTGAGAGTGAGAGATCAAAACCAAAATCCGTTTATAACTGAAAAAGAATGTTAAATCAGTTTCTTAGACAATTTATACAAATTGATGATGCAAATTTTACTTTTTTTATAAGGTCTACACATTAAACTGATAATAAAAAGTAGTATTGCGTTCCCCGAATTTTGTAAAAAAAATAAATAAACCATTTTTGATTTAATATTTTTAACAAACACTTTTGGAATAACGTCAGTAACTTTCTATAAAGTAAAGGCTAAAATATATTTTAATCGTATTATAATCATTAAAAGATTTATTTATTAATATCAAATTTTAAAAGTTACAAAAAACTGCGGAAATTTCATTTGAATACATCAATAATTGATTGATACGACATTTTTATGACAATGTAATGTGTACGTTTTTAAATCTTCCTAAGGAAGCAAATCTGATAAATATGTCTAATGATAAAATGATAAAAATTGACTGATTCATCGTCTTCTTTGAAATTCTAGGACGTATCGAACCAGGTTTTCTCCTACATATCCACATTCCTGAATCCTCCATTTAATTAATAATACAATGTTTTGATAAACCTTTAATTTCTTGGCTATTTGCCGTAAACTATATTTTTATCATTATTTGTATGGGATTTATGTGAACATGACTGTACATTTCTTAAGTGGTAATTTTTCCCTTTAGCTGTCATTTGGGTATGGCATTTTTAAAACTTCAGATTTTTAAATTTGTCACTTCGACCATTGATTCCCATTGCTTATTAATCAATTCATTAACTATATATTTTCAGACCAAATCTAATGAACTAAAATTTCTGTCTGAAAATTTTTTGAGCGCGATGGACAGTCGCGACCATAGAAACTCAACCACCAGGTTTGACACACTTCCAAATTTAAAAAATTGGTCGAAGTACAAATACAATAAAACAAATCCAGCTTTTTTGAAAAATTATAAAATTCGATTATACAAATTTTATTTTTTTCATGAGAACCCTTGTAAGTTAAAACAAAGATACGTATGTAACGTTAATGCGTTTTCCCTTAACAAAATTTTGTGATGAAGTCATCAACAACTTTGCATAGACATATGTATATCACTTTCGATAGGTGCAGTAATAATTTTCAGGAAAACGTAGTGAGCCGTTCCTGATTTAATCAATGAGTCACCCTGTACAAGAAATTTAAGAACTTTTAATGCAGCGATAAATCACAAGTATAGACTTATCGTATTTTGCACATTTTGGGTAAGATTTACTCGGCAAAATTTTGAGATGACGTCATCAATTTTTTGAGAGGGGATAAACTAATAAATGTTACTTAACGATTTACCATGTTTACCTTTTTTCCTTAAAATATTTACAAGATTTCAGAGCATTCGGTTTTGCAGTTCCAAAGTTATACTATCATAAAATATGGTTATTCAGAGTTAAATTTTTTCAAAAAATTCTGGATGTCTGGGGTGAAAATTCGACACGGATTCACACACTACAAGTGTAGGAATATCTTATTATTTTACAAAATTTCAAAAAACTTTTTAGTAAAAATTTTGGACATGACATCATTCTATTGGTGGTGGGGATGATTAGCCACTTTTGAGTTAGCATTTAACCATATACATGGCATTCCTAATTTGGATACAAAATTTGACAACAGTAGTTTCGGAGATTACTTGTCTAATAAAAATGGATACCGACACCAGACAGACAGATAGACAGACAGACAGGCAGGCAGACAGACAGACGGAAACGGTAGAGTACTTTTTTGTGGTCTAGAGGTCATGACACGTCGGGAAAATATTAAAGCGGCAATTCGGCCGATTATTATACTTCCTTAGCTTACGCTCGGGAAATAAAAAGGGTTTAATTATACATAATTTGACAAATTAAATCACTTTGACAAAACCACTGTCTCGTGATTCAAATCAGGCCCGTACATTCAAATTGCTATTATGATATTAAAAAAATATATAATAATAATAATAACTAAAATTTTGTTTTGTCGTCCGTCTCAAAATGTATAAAAAAAAAGCATTAGTCGTTTATAAAGTACGGCATTGGTACACACACGGCTAATATGAAATTAAAAAAAATATATGTATATTGTTTAGAAAATCAAACAAAAACATTTTGTAGTAATGTGTACTAAATTTTTGTTTAAAGATTATTTTTATATCTTAATTTTTTGAACTATTTTTTTTTTAATAAAACAGCCATCGTGTATCATTGGTTGCAGTGACGTGTGTTTTTTTAACAAGCGAGAATACCAGATGATAACTATGAAATAATTGTATTGTCATCTGTTCTTGATAGGTGTGCAAAATTTTAATAATTCGGACGTCTGGAAGTATGTGAAAATTTAATTGAAAGATTCCGTTATAGTAAACTCGGTTTACTTGTACCTAGTAAAAATTTACAGTCCCATTAATGAACAATGGAAGATAATTGTCCGCAAGTCGACTGAGTTTACTATACATTCACACATACATACATACATACAAGGAAAGTTAATAATAAAAGCATGTTAAAAATCTAATGTCTAAGGAAAAAATTAAGGCGGATTCATACACCACAAGTATAAAAGTATGTTATTTTATGAAATTTAAATACTCCCTCTCTCCGAATATGGTATACATTTTACAAAATTATTATAATTATAGAGTGATGACCAGCAAATTGCAATCAAGTAATTTTGTTTGCAACTTGTATAATAAAGAAGCATCATATAAATAGTCGACTGAAATCTACGTTCGTTTCTGCTAAAAAAGTGACCAAGAACATTACTACAATAACAACAAAATAAATCGATAATAATATATTATAATAATCTAATTTACTTATTTATTTATTTCATTTATTTTGACTCAAAGTGGGCGCCGACTGTGCCGCCTTGTCCAGACAGGATTATAATCGGCATCGCATGACGTTTTGTAGTCATCGCCACAGTCAAAGGCAAGCGGCAAATCTCAAAATTTTTTTTAATAAATTATATCAAGATTAACATTTTTAGAAACAAATTTCAAAACCCCAAATTTAAAGAAACTACTGCGTTTTAATGATTTTTCTCGCTTCTTTGAATACTTTTTCGGAGTGACCTGGCGAATTTTTAATTTTTAGGAAATTACCATATGATCTAATCACCTTTGAATTTTTTTAATGTTAAAAGATTATAGTCGAATTACAATGTAGCCCCACCCACCCGCGGTATCTCAATTGTGATTTTTTTTATTCGTTGTGAGCCAAGTAGGCGGAGGTTAACTGCAAAAAGCTTATTTCTCTACGAGAAATTAAAAACATGTTCTTGAGTATCGTGTTGTTCAAAGAATACGTTGTATATTAAGAAAAATCTTAGCTTAAGCTTAACTGCAAAATCCTTATTCTTTCTGTACAACAAATTACCATGTACGATATGTTTTTGAGTATCGGGTTATTCAAAGAATACCATGTATATTAAGAAAAAATTAAAGCCAAAGATAGAGTCACCACCCATACCTGCCCTAATCTGAATAGTAATGAAGTTTTGAAACCATATTTCCTTACAGAAATTTACGATTTTAAACTGTTTAAGTTTCTAAGAATAAAAAAAACATCACAATTGAAATGGTGCAGGTGGGCGGAGTTTATATTTTGCCTTTTTTTCTTAATGTACATGTACAACATGTTTTTAATTTCTTGTAAAGAAATAAGTATTTTGCAGTTAAGCTCCGCCCGCTTGGTTCACGGCAAATAAAAAAAATCATCACAATTGAGATAGGGCGGGTGGGTGGGGCTTATATTTTGCTTTTTTTTTACTATACATAGCCCTCTTTTCATAACATGAAACTTAAAGTATGTTTAAAATGGAAAATTTGTAATAGGAAATATCGATTTTGCAATTAGGCTCCACTCCATAATTGCAAAATCCATATTTTCTTGCAAAAATGTACCATTTTAACCATGTTTTAAGTTTCATGTTGGAAAAGTTGGCCATGTTTATTAAGAAAAAAAAACAATATATAATAAATATTTATTTTTTTTATTTATTTATTTATTTAATTTTAACTATAAAATTCCTCATCTTAATAAATCCAAACTTCATGAGGGAAGGTTACCAACGAAATTGGTATGTTCTCCAGAAGCTCTAAATAAAGTTCCATTGCATATAAATTGAAATGTATTGTCGTTATAATAACCAGGAACCACTGGACAAATTTTGATAAGCGTTTTACCATCTACGTGATATTCCTATATACATATAAAATTTGACAACAATCAGTCCAGTAGTTTCGGAGATATACAGGCTAATAAAAAACCTACGTATAACCTCAATGGTACGTTATTAAGAAGGCTCTGAAGAACTCGAAAAAAATGGTTAAAAAAACGCTGAACCAAATGTTTGAAAATATAAAACTTGTAATGGATTGGATCGTATCTGATTTGTTTTAATGCGAATTTAATTGACTAGTCTAAAATTCCGACAAAAATAGTCAAAAATGACCTGTCAACAGTTCATTAAAACAAATCAGAATTACGAAGTTAATTCTTGTACTTTGATATTTTCAAAAGTTTGGTGCAGGGATTTTTTAAACATTTTGGTCTAGTTCTTCAGAGCTTTCGTAACAACGTACTATCGAGCTTATACGTTATTTTTTCATCACGGGAGACCCTAGCTTACGCGGGAAGTAAAAATAATGGTGAATTATTACAGTGCGATGACGTCCTCAGTTTTTTAAAGGTGCTGAATAAATAATATTTTGTTAATATTTCGTTATCGTTAAGGTGGTATCACTCAGAATTGTCACGCAACAGGTGAGCATAAATAACTCTTCACGTAGTCCAAACACTCTCTAGTCTGCTCTAGTGTTCTCTAGTCACTTTTCAAATATCTTAACGCCTGCTATTGCTATAATGTTGCCGCTCTTTCGAAACGACCGCATCAAATAACGGTAGACGCTTAACGACGTTTTAATGAAAATTGTTCTGGACCACTGGAAGAGGGTGGAGTGTTGTGCATTCTACATTCGAAATTCCCCGTAAATCACAAATGCAACCTTTTTTTGAGTTTTCGTGTCCCATCTAGTGAATCATCATAACAAATGGTTAATTGTGTGGAAAGATAATGAGACGTAAATTTGAGGCAAAAACGTGATAAATGGAATTTCAATCGCCAAATTTTTAAATTGTCACTCACATCCTGTATTTTTATTAGTACCGTATCTTACTCTGTTTTTGTTCGTGTTCTTCTAATGTGCCTTTTAAAAAAATAACTTATAATTAACTTTAAATTTCGAAAATAGAAAAATTCAAATATAGAACTGAAAACTCCAGAAATCGAAAAACTTAAAATTTTAAAAATTGAAAATCCAAAAAGTAAAAAATCGAGAAATCGAAAAATCCAGAACGTAAAAAATCCAAAAGTCGAAATACTAAAAAATCCCAAAATTGAAAATCGAACGAAATATCCAAAAATTGGGAAATTAAAAAATTGATAAATTGGGAAATCGAAAAGCCGAAAAATTGCAAACCTAAAGAATCGAGAAATTGAAAAATCTGGAGCCTGAAAAACCGAAAAATTGAGGAACTGAAAATCTGAAAAATCGAAACCTTCGCAAGTCGAAAATGGGAAAACCAAAAAAATAGATTAATTGAGAAATCGTAAAACTGGAAATTCAGAAACGTCAGAACTTGAAAATTTAAGAAATTGAGAAATTGAAAAATCGGACAATTCAAAAATCGAAAAGCCGAAAAGTAAAAAAACGAAAAACCGATAAATCGAAAAATCGAAACATCGAAAAATTCAAAAACTGAGACAATCAAAACATCGAAACATCCGAATCTCGATAGATCGAGTTCTCAAAAAATTGAAAACTCGAAAAATTCACAAATCGAAATATATATAAAACAGTCGAAAACTGAAAAATCCAAAGTTTAAAAAACGAAAAACTGAAGAATTGAAGAACTGAAAAATCTAAACTGCGAATTCGAGTAACGGTAAAATAAAAAAATTTAGTATATATTAACCGAAAAATCGGAAAACTGAAAATTTACCAACGTCAAAATTTGAAAAATTGTAAAATAGAAATACTGAAGAACTGGAAAATCAAAAAATCCACAAATCAAAAATCTATAATTTAAAACATTGAACAATTGAAATATCGCAAAATTGAAAAATGGAGAAATCCAAACATCAAAGAATTAAAAAAGAAAAATTCGAAAATCTAAAACTTAAAAATCGAAAAACTGAAAAATCGACAAATCTAAACTCCAGAGTTTAAAAAAATTGAAAAATCGGATAACTGAAAAATCGAAACATCGAAAAATTGGAAAATCGAAAAACCGAGAAATCCAAAAATCGAAACATCGAGAAATAGAAAAAAATTGAGAAATTGATAAATTGAGAAATTGAGCAATCAAAACATCCAAACATCTGAATTCGATAAATCGAGAAATAAAAAAAAAATGAAAAATTTTAAAAAAGAAAAATTAAAACATCGAAAAGTTGAAAAAAAATAAGAAATCGAAGTATAAAACTGTCGAAAATTTGAGAAATCTAAAGTTTAACGAAAAATTGAAAACCCAAGAAGTAACAAAGGGGTGGGAACCCAAAAACTGCAAACTGAAAAATTTAAAAATTGGAAAATCGACGAATTGGAGTCGATTGGCCTGAAAATTTGAAAAATCGAATAAACGAAAAATTGGAAAATCGAAAGAAACAACAAAAATTAAGGAAATGAAAAAACAAAAAATTGTGATATAAAATCGAGAAAATGAAAAATAAAAAATCAGGAAAATGCAAAATAAAAATCGGGGAGTTGAAAAATTGAGGGGACGGAAAATTTAAAAAGGGCACAATTAAAAATCGAGAATGTGAAAAATGGAAAAATGAGAAACTGTAATATTGAAAAATTGAAAAATTTGGAAGAAAAATTGCTAAAAACCTGAAAAATTGAAAAATTGTAAAATCGAAAGGAACAACAAAAAATAAAGGAAATCAAAAAAAGGATAATTGTGATATAAAATCGAAAAAGTGAAAATGAAAAAATCGGAAACAAAAAATTGAAAAAGGGAAAAATGAAAAATTGAGAAACTGAAAAATCGAAAAATGAAAATCTGTAATATTGAAAAATTGCCACATTGAAAAACTGATGCAAACCGAAAAATTGAAAATTTTGGAATTTGAGAAATTGTAAAATTGAAGAATCAAAAATAAAAAACGAAAAATTACAAAATGAAAACTTGAAAAATCTTAAGAATTGAAAAAGTGAAAAATAAAAAAAAAAGAAATATGTATTATGAAATAGAAACATTTAAAATTAAAGAAATTTGAAAATCGGAAGACTGGAAATCCAAAAACTGCAAAGTGAAAAATCTAAAAATTGAAAAATGGACGAACTGAAAATTCAAAGCCTGAAATTTTGAAAAATTGAACAAATGAAAAATTGTAAAATCGAAAAAAAAACAGAAAATAAAGGAAATGAAGAAACAGACAATTGTGATATAAATCGAGAAAATAAAAATTAAAAATTCGCCACACTGAAAATAAAAATCGAAAACATGAAAAATTGTGGAAACGAAAAATTGAGAAACTGAAAATTAGAAAAATTGAAGAAACGAAAAATTGAAAAATCGAAAGAAACAACAAAAAATAAAGGAATTGAAAAAATGAAAATTTGTGACAAAATCGATAAAATGAAAATTAAAAAAATCGGCAGAATGAAAAATAAAAATCGAGAACTTGAAAAATTGAAAATGACAAAAATTACAAACTGAGAATGTGAAAAATCTAAAAATGTGAAACTGTAATATCGAAAAATTGCAAAATTAAAAAATTGCAAATCGAAAAATTGAAAAATTTAGAAGTCAAGAAACTGTAAAATTGAAAAATCAAAAACAAAAAAAAAACGAAAAAGTTTATGATGAAAACTTGAAAAATGTCAAAAGTGAAAATCGAACAGGAAAATTTGAAGAAACGAAAATTTGAAAAATCGAAAGATTAAAAATTGAAAAACTTAAAATTAGAAAAAGTGAAAAATAAGAAAAAAAGAAATATGTATTGTAAAACCAAAATATTGAAAATTAAAGAAACTGAAAAATTCGAAGACTGGAAATCCAAAAACTGCAAATTGAAAAATTTTAAACGTGGAAAAGCATGGAATTGAAAAATGAAAATTTGAAAAATTGAATAAATAAAGAATTGAAAATCGAAAGAAACATCAAAAAAATAAAGGAAAAAAGAAACCAAAAATTGTGTTATAAAATGGAGAAACGTCAAGAAAACATAAAATTAGTCATTCGCCAGATGGATCTCTTTACTGCGTTATCAGCAAAAAAATCTCTAAATCGAATCTTACAATTACCTGACAAAACTGAATATGTATGTTACACCAGACTTCAAAAGCGAGGAAAGTGCTGTCTAAATAACTTTAGACCAATTTTTATAATTCAACAATTTACATTGAGTATCAAAAATAAAACACCGACAGCTTTCGAATAATTTTGTTTTGTGTTGTGCTAATTTTTTTAATTCCACCAATATTTTCTATTTTGACAAAATGACGAAAGAATCGAAACTTGGAGAGTTATACAAAACGAATAAAATTTGAACCCTCTTTTGTCAGGGTAGGTATCGCAGGTAGGTGCAGCTGAAAACTTGAAGCAATTTTTTCATCTGCAGGGTTTACTTAACTGACGCTGTATATGAATTGTGTAACACTTATTAAAAAACGTATTGATGCAATCTGTTAAGAAAGGTTCGTTGTAGACACCTCTTTTTTTAATTTTTTTCGCATTACAAAGTGTACGTTGTAACAGTAATGTAAATGTCGTCATTTTTGCATGCTTTTACTTTTTTTTAACACAGAAAACAGAACTGAAAATCAAATTTTAATATAAGAGAGACAAAATATGTCTAATAAGGATTGTTAAGAAAAAAAAGTATCATCCTAAGTCAATTTCTCTCGTTTTTACAGGGCATTTCAAATGGGATGAAAACTGTCCCAAACCAGGCCAAGTGATACTACCTCAAATTAAAATTTAAGTGTTTTATAAACATTTTAGAGAATTCCATTACACGGTTTCTTTCATGAATTGTAAATTTTTATTGTGCTCACTTTTTTTATAACCTTTATATTTTAAAATAAAATACAAGCGGATTGTTAAAATACGACCACGGCAACATCATGCGCATAATTAAAGCAAAATTTGAATAACGACGAGCAGAACTAGAATGGTATCAGTAAAATTTTGTGATATCTTTATTTTTTTGCGATGGTAGTTACATAAACTACAACGAAGAGAGAAAAAATGTATGTATTTAATTTTGAAAATTAGTTATATAAGTTTCAGACTTTTTTGTGATATCATAATATAAATTTCAAGCGATTTACTTGGAAAAATTTTATGATGACGTCAACAAATTTTGGTTAGCGTTTATCACCTACATGACAGTCTTAAAAGTAAATCTCCACAGTAATCAACGGAGTAGTTCTGGAAATTTTCTATCTGATAAAATCTCCAACAGACAGATAAGAGACAAACAAAAACGGAGGACCTACATTTTCATATTTCACAAGTTATGAAACGTCAAGAAAACACGAAAATTAACCGCAAAAAGTAAAAATGTGCATTAAACGTTTTTTTTTTTTTTAATATTTGGCGTTAATTTATTAATTTAAAAATTTGCAAGTCAGCTTTTACTACGTCATTTCAAGTTCAAGATTTTTTCAATTAAAAATGTAACCTTTTAAAAAACGCTGACTTACTGTTTGAGCTCTTCTTCCAGCCATACACAAGCATCAAGATCAAGATGATTAGTGGGCTCATCCAGAAGTAATAAATGAGGTTTTACATAGAGAGCACGTGCCAACGCTATTCTCATTCTCCAACCACCACTGAAATCCTTGGTTTTCTTATTCTGCATTTCATTAGTAAAACCAAGACCGTGAAGTATATTGGCTGCACGAGCTTCAGCAGTATCAGCAGAAATATCATCCAGACGTTCATATATGTCCATCAATTGTTCCTGGGATTCTAATTTTACAAAAAAAAAATTAATAATACACTCCATATTTTAGAAAAAAAAAACATACCATCATCGTCACACGCAACTAATTCCTCAGCTAATTTCTCTAATCTCACTCTCTCTTCATCAACTTCCATAACACATTGTAAAGCTGTTTTATCCGATGCAGGCATTTCTCTAGTCAAGTGGAAAATATCAATATGTTCAGGAATCGGAACTTCCCTATTCCCCAATACTGCCAATATTGTGGACTTGCCTGTGTACATTACATTGTAAACTCCACGACACAAAGTAAAAGAACAACGTACCACTTCCGTTGAGCCCCAACAACCCGTACCGTCTCCCACAATTTAATTCCAACATAGCATCCTGCAACATCTCAGATCCATGGAAAGTGATAGAAAAGTTCGCGATTTTGATATCCCTAGATTTAGGATGGACGGCTAACGATCCAGTGCAAGCCCTCGCCTCAGCATTGAGCCTAGCATCGGCTTCTAACTTCGCGCACAGCGCCTCCTCCATACTCAGCTCGTTTGAACCATTTTGGGAAGTCGAGTCCCCGTTCTGGGACGAGTTCGGGTCGTCATTTTTACTTGGGATCTTCTTACCGGATTGACGTGCTTTTGCGGCCCCTTTCTTGCGCTGCTGTTCGCGTTTTTTGGCGTCGGATGGCATTGTGGCTGTTTCTGCCAGGAAGAGACGATATTAAAAATGCAGTGACAGCTACAGAAAGTGGGTGATTTTACGGTTTTTCAATAGCTTTCGAACTACACGCTTGAATGAACATCTTTTACCGGAAATTTTGAAGAAATTGGTGCGGATTTCGGTGGTAGGGTTGCAGGAGAAATGCTGTGGTTGGGCAAGAACGAGAATGAGTATAAATGGAGGTGATGGTTCAATGGTGATGCGGACGTATAGATTTGGTGGAACTTACGAGAAATTAATTACTGGAGAGGTTTGTTGGTTTAATACAAATTTCACGTGCAGCCGCTCACCAAAAAGACAGCCGGAAAGAAACTAGGGGTTTTGGTTTTTCGACTAAATTCTGGATCAAATATCTAGGGACTTTTATGGCGTGCAAATGCATTCCTTTTTTGTTTTATTCCATGACGTCATTTTTAATGTATTCAAAATGTTTTTAATTATAATAGCTTCGAAGTTATCAACTTTTTAACCCCAAATTGTGTTTACGTTTACGTTGTAATTTAATTTGCAATTTTTTCATTAACTACATGAGCCATTTAGCCATTACATGTCGCATACGTCATACGTCAGACGGTCACATTCAAATGTCATTTTCTAATTACAAAAAACTTTTTGCAAAAAATTTAATTTTCCTATATTTTAAATCTCCACAGTTTTCTAATGCTGAATCCAAAAAATCAATACAACCTTTTAAAAACTCACAAAATGTGTCAACACGTGCTAAAAATGGCGCCCTTATTAAAAAATTATGACTGAAAAATAAAAAACTGCAATAAAAATTTTAAATTAATGATAAAATGTCGTGCATGTTAAAAGAAAAACAAACGAAACTTTCCTAGCGAAAAATTTTTATAGGTAACATAATTTTGGAAATTTAATAAATGTCAACAGCATTTAACTAAATTTACGATGACGTAATCAACTTTTTGGGGATGATGGACAAGTTTTATTTTTACTTCCTGCTCTCTCTCGTCTGTCTGGATTATTGGTTAATCATCCCCACCAACAATTTGATGACGCCATCTTCAAAATTTACAATAGTAAATTTGTTTTTATTTTTATAAAACAAGATACTCCTACCAAAAAATTGATGACGTCATTTCAAAATTTTGCCTTACAAACCCTTTCTGAAATATGCAAAAATGTTATGACTCTTATCATAAAAAATAAAATTCGCAAAATCAAATCTTATAATTTTTCGAAAAATCTGGATTTGTTTAACTTTGACCAATTTTTGACATCGTTTTTGCAACTTCCGTTTTTCAATTTTTCAATTACTTGACTTCCAAATTTTTCAATTCATCATTTCTTCAATTTTTCGATTTGTAATTTTTCAGATTTGCAATTTTTCATTTATCGATTTTTCAGATTCTCAGTTGTTAATTTTTCGATTTTTTAAGTTTTCGTTTCCTCGATTCTTCTAGTTGATATTTTCGTTTTCCCGATTTTTTAATTTTCATTTTTTCGATTTTATATCAGTTTTTCGTTTTTTCACATCCTTTTTTTTCAGGATTTCTTTGGATTTTATAATCTTTCGTTTATTCAATTCTTCTAATTTTTAATCTTTGATTTTTCATTTTCTCGATTTTCCAATTTTTAAATTTTGCAATTTGTGGATTTTTTAATTATCCGATTTTCCAATTTCTCAAATTTCCAATATTTCACTTTTAAAATATTTCGTTTTTGCAATTTTTAAGTTTCTCATTTTTTAATCTTTTGATTTTTCAATTTTTCGTTTTTTCAATTTTTAAAGTTCATTTCCAATTTTTAGATTTTTCAAAGTTTTCATTTTATCCTTTTCCGTTTTTCATTTCTGATTTTTCAGTTTCACAATTTTTTGCAATTTTTTCATTTTTTTATTCGAAAAGTTGAAAAATGGAAAAAGTGGAAACTCGAAAAACCGAAGGAACACTAAAAAAACAAAATTCAGGCTCAAAAATCGAAAAAAATCAATGAATCAAAAAATTGGAAAGACGAAAAAAACGAATCCAATCGCAAAATTGGAAAACCCAAAAGAAAATCGAAAAATTATAGAATCATCAAAATTGTAAAGTCAAAAAAGTGTAAAATTGGATGATCGAAAAATTGGAAAATTAAAATCGAGAAATTAAAAAATTAAAAATCGAAAAATTGAAAACCGATCAATGAAAAAGTTTTAAAATCCAATAAATGAAAACTGGAAAAATTTCAATATCGGAAAATTGAAAAAGTGAACAATTTTAAAAATTATAATTATTAATAGATATATATTTAAAACGAAAACTAGAGAAATTGCAGAAACGAAAAATTGAAAAATTTAGAAACTGAAAAAAATCGAAAAAATGGAAAAGTTAAAAAATTGAAAAATTGAAAGTCGAAAAATTGCAAATCTAAAAATTGAAAAATCCAAAAAATAAAAAATTTCACAGTGAAAAAAAAAATGGATACATCACAATACTGAAAAACCGAATAATTGAAAAAATAAAGGGAAAAAAAAAACAAACAAAAAACTATAAATCGAAAGTGAAAATTTTAAAAATTAAAAAAAAACTCGTGAAATTGCAACATCTAAAAATTGAAACATCGGAAAGTTGGAAAATCGGAAAACTGAAATATTTAAAAATGAAAAACTGAAAAATTGCAGATCGAAAAATTGAAGAAATTAAAATTAAAAACTCCAGAAATTTTAGATCGAAAAATTGCAAAATCTGTAAAATGAAAAACGAGAAAAATAAAAATTGAAAAATCGAAAATCTGAAGGAAATTTTGAAACAACTGAAACTGATAATATAAAAAAAATTAAAACCGGAACATTCAAAAATCCAAAAATTGTAAAAATAAAGAACATAAAATTTGAATAAATGAAAGATTACAGATTCAAAAAATTGAAAACTTGAGAAATTTTGAAACCGAAAGATTGCAAAATCTAAAAATTGAAAAAACAAGAAAAACAAAAATTGAAAAATCACAAATCGAAAAATCTGAGGGAAATTTTGAAAAAAATTGAAATTGAAAAAAAAAAAATATAAAACCGAAATATCGAAAAATCGAAAAATTGTAAAAATAAAGAGAATAAAAGGCCGAAACGAAAAATTGCAAATCCAAAAATTGAAGAACTTAAAAATTGGAAACTCGTGAAATCGAAAAATTAAGACATCCAAAAGTTAGAAAATCGGAAAACTGAAATTTTAAAAATGAAAACTCAAACGAAAAATTGAAAAAATTTGAAATTGAAAAAACAAACAAAAAATCGGAACACTGAAAAATAGTAAAATTGTTAAAATGAAGAAAATAAAAAACCGAAACAAAAAATTGAAAAATTTAGAAATTGAAAAAATGTAAAAGTTAAAAATCGGAAAATTGAAAGTCGAAAAATTGCAAATCGAAAAATCCAAAAAATGCAAAATTTCACATTGAGAAAAAGAAAAATAGGTAAATTAAAACATTGAAAACCCGAATAATTGAAAAAATAAAGGAAAAAAACAAACGAAAAACTGTACATCGAAAAATTGAAAGAAACTCGTGAAATTGCAAAATTGAAACATCCGAAAGTTGGAAAATCGGAAAACTGAAAAATTTTAAAATGAAAAACTGAAAAAATGCACATCGAAAAACTAAAAAGGGAAAAATTGAAATCGGAAAAGCAAAAAATTATAGAATCGGAACATTGAAAAATCGAAAAATTGTCAAAATAAAGAGAATAAAAGGTAGACACGAAAAATTGCAAATCCAAAAAATGAAGAAACTAAAAATTGAAAACTCGTGAAATTACAAATCGAAAAATTGAAACATCCAAAAGTTAGAAAATCGGAAAACTGAAATTTTAAAAATGAAAACTCAAACGAAAAATTGAAAAAACTGTTGTTAAAATAAAGAAAATAAAAAACCGAAATGAAAAATTGCAAACAAAAAATTTTAATAAATGAAAGATTAAAGAATCTAACAATTGAAAAATTAAAAATTGAAAACTGGAGAAATTTCAAATATAAAAATTTAAAAAACAAGAAAAATAAAAAATGAAAAATCACAAATCGAAAATCTGAAGGAAATTTTGAAAATATTTTAAATCGAAAACACAAAAAAAATATTAAATTGGAACATTGAAAAATCGAAAAACTGTAAAAATAAAGAACATACATCACAGAAACGAAAAATTGCAAATCGTAAAATTGAAAACTCGAGAAACTCAAATCGAAAAAATGAAGAAACGAAAAAAAAAAGAAAAATTGAAGTCAAAAAAGCTGCGGGAGTGTTATTTACGCCACTGACTTTTACTTTATAGAGGTTATTGGAATAAAACAAAAATCGCAATTTTTATAATTTTTCAAACAATCGGGATTTGTTGGTCGTCTGCACTCCAAAGCGAGGAAAATAGGAAATAACTTTCGACCAATTTCTTAAACTACAGATTATTACTTCATAACATTTTATTATTCTGTAAAATATAAAAGAAAAGCTGTCAACAAAATCATTACAGTTATGTATAATTCCTTATGACAATGATTTACGATTATTATTAAAAATAATGTGACAGTTGTAAAATAGGAATAAAAGTTTGAAGATCAACAATTAGGTACTTAGGATTTAACATTCAACATGAAATTTATAAGTCTCTGTATTATTCTTTAAGACTTCCTACTTATGAGAAGCTCTCTAACTAGTAGAATTCATGATATATGTATTTTGTGCAGAATTATAATAATAACTGAGTATTGTCTACTGAAGGAAAATATAAAATAAATAAATTAACTAATAAAATTAAAATTATGTGGTTGTGTATTTACAACGGAGTAACATGACTGGGAAGTCCACAAAATATATTATAAAAAGTTGGTGGAGTCAAACCTGCAATCTTAACACTAATTACAAAATAAAAAAAACTTGATGTTGATTTCAAAAATTTCATTGTCACGTAAGTAAGTTATCATCGCTATAGTGAAAATATAAACACAGAGACATTTAAAACTCTTTTATGGAAACCCTAACACAGATCATACAGAGTGATCATTTAAAATATTGCATTATTTGTATAAATATTCAGTTTGCACACTTCAAAAACGACGAAGCTTTCCAGCTCAAATCAAAACCCTGGAAATCAAAACATTTTATTTTACCTGCCACGACTTAATTTTTTGACTTAGCTCTTTATTTGGCATTTAATTTAAAATTGCTTCACATTTGCTCGAAATAAAAATAACTCAAAAAAAGACTGCATCCTAGAGCAGGACTCCAACTTTCCCAGAAGACTGAGATCCCAACAGTAATACATAAAATACAAATCACAAATCTTCATCTTACAATTTTGTATGCATATTTGACTAAACAGAAGCAGTTTCTGGTTTTGTAAAACTGTTTATACAAAATTGTGAGTAAAAGGCATCCACACATAGTAAGCTGCATCTTTCTTCAGCATCAACTACCATATTCGGTTCTCCGTCTGAGGGGCCCGCATTACGCCCACGCCGCCCCCTAGTCGTCGATAATTCATCGAACCACACAGCCTCCATTGGTTTTGTTCCGTGTCGTAAAATTCGATCGTTTTTAAGTAGGCCGTTCCGTCGAAGCCTCCGACAGCGTAAAGTTGTCCATTCACTACAGCTAATCCAACCTGGAAAAAATATGCCGGGTGGTTAAATTAAGCATTTTAGTTACATTCTTGTTTCTTTTTGCTTTCATTTTATATGAAAACATCACAACATTATAAATAGAACAAAAAACTACTCAATACTCTTAAAAAATGTATACATTCCACTGGAAAATTGTGTTTTAATTAATTAGTTTTAAATCAATAAAATTTAAGCATTTTCTTCTGCGTTTTACTTACTTCTTTATTGTCATTAATTTTAATTCTTCTTTTTAGGCCAATATAAAGAATAATTGATCTGGTCAACTTCATAACATATTTAAGTATTTAAAAAACAAGCAATAAAATGTTGTTACTGCTAATTAAAAAAAAGTGTGTACTTATTTTTTATTAACATTGAACCAAATATTAATTTGGAATAAATACGTCATTCATTTCTAAAGAAAAAAAAAATACCGGAAAAATAGTAGGTTTTCGAAAAAATATGTAACTTCCGAAGGTCTAAATCTACAAGAGTTGCCTTAAAATCCACAAAAAATTCTGATAATACTAATTCAGATATCGACGTGCTGATTCGTAAAATATAGCCTGTTTGTGACCCCGTAGCAAAATTTTAGAAATATTCAGTTTTAAATTCAATTAAAAAACAAACAAAAAAAATTTTAAATTGCCATATTTCAATGGGCGATTTTGAGAAAGTGATAGGTGTTATCGAAGAAACAAACTCAAAAGTAATTTCTGGTGGTGGAAATATACAAGAAAATGTCTTTATGTAAATTTCGAAAAATGTTGAATTTTCATAATTTTCATAAGAAATTGAAAAAAATCGACTAAAAATCCACAAAAAATTCTAGATTAGTCGTTTTGAAATGATTTTTTTTAGCTTTAAAAATTGCCATATTTAATTAAATGGGGAAACTCTGGAAATATGGTAGGTGGAACTGAGGAAATAAGACCGAAAATAACTTCTGAGGGAAGCAAATGTCTTTGGGTAAATTTCAAAGGTGGTCGAACAAGAGTTGAAATTTCCATAAGGGAAGCATATTGAAAAAGTTATCTAAAAATCTACAAAAAATTCTGGAATACATATGAACATATTGATTCGAAAAATATAGTGTTTATTAAATTCCCAGAGCAAGATTAAAAAAAAAATAGCTTTGAAATATTTTTTTTTTATTTTAAAAATTGCTACATTTATTTCAATGGGGAATTCTGGAAAAACGGTAGGTTTTACTGAAAAAATAAGGCCGAAAGTAACTTCTGGAGGTCAAAATCTACAAGAAAATGTCTTTAGGTAAATTTCGAAAGTGGAAAAAATGTTGAAATTTTCATAAGTTTTCATAGGAGGAAGTATTGAAAAATTGGGCTTTTGAAAAAACTGCCTAAAAATCCACAAAAAATGCTGGGATACAAATATCGACATGCTGATTGGAAAAATATAGCGCGTTTATATGAGTTTTTTTTTTAATTTTAAAAGTTGCCATATTTATTGCAATGGGGAATTCTTGAAAAACGGTAAATGTCACCGAAGAAATAAGACCGAAAATAACTTCTAGAAGTCGGAATGTATAAGAAAATGTCTTTGGGTAAGTTTCAAAGGTGGTCGAAAAAGGGTCGAAATTTCCATAAGGGAGGCGTTCTGAAAAATGAAGTTTTTGAAAAAGTTACCTAAAAATCTACAAAAAATTCTGGAATACATGTGGCTGTATTGATTCGAAAAATATAGGGTGTTTATTAAATTCTCAGAGCAAGATTTAAAAAAAAAGTAGCTTTGAAACGATTTTTTTTTTTTTATTTTAAAAATTGCTACATTTATTTCAATGGGGAATTCTGGAAAAACGGTAGGTTTTATTGAAAAAATAAGGCCGAAAGTAACTTCTGGAGGTCAAAATCTACAAGAAAATGTCTTTAGGTAAATTCCGAAAATGGAAAAAATGTTGAAATTTTCATAAGCTTTCATAGGGAGAAGTATTGAAAAATTGGGCTTTTAAAAATACTGCCTAAAAATCCACAAAAAATGCTGGGATACAAATATCGACATGCTGATTGGAAAAATATAGCGCGTTTATATGAGTTTTTTTTTAATTTTAAAAGTTGCCATATTTATTGCAATGGGGAATTCTTGAAAAACGGTAGATGTCACCGAAGAAATAAGACCGAAAATAACTTCTAGAAGTCGGAATGTACAAGAAAATGTCTTTGGGTAAATTTCAAAGGTGGTCGAAAAAGGGTCGAAATTTCCATAAGGGAGGCGTTCTGAAAAATGAAGTTTTTGAAAAAGTTACCTAAAAATCTACAAAAAATTCTGGAATACATATGGCTGTATTGATTCGAAAAATATAGGGTGTTTGTTAAATTCCCAGAGCAATATTAAAAAAAAAGTAGCTTTGAAATATTTTTCTTTTTTTTTTTAAATTGATACATTTATTTCAATGGGGAATTCTGGAAAAATGGTAGGTTTTATTGAAAAAATAAGGCCGAAAGTAACTTCTGGAGGTCAAAATCTACAAGAAAATGTCTTTAGTTAAATTTCGAAAATGGAAAAAATGTTGAAATTTTCATAAGCTTTCATAGGGAGAAGTATTGAAAAATTGGGCTTTTAAAAATACTGCCTAAAAATCCACAAAAAATGCTGGGATACAAATATCGACATGCTGATTGGAAAAATATAGCGCGTTTATATGAGTTTTTTTTTTTAATTTTAAAAGTTGCCATATTTATTGCAATGGGGAATTCTTGAAAAACGGTAAATGTCACCGAAGAAATAAGACCGAAAATAACTTCTAGAAGTCGGAATGTATAAGAAAATGTCTTTGGGTAAGTTTCAAAGGTGGTCGAAAAAGGGTCGAAATTTCCATAAGGGAGGCGTTCTGAAAAATGAAGTTTTTGAAAAAGTTACCTAAAAATCTACAAAAAATTCTGGAATACATGTGGCTGTATTGATTCGAAAAATATAGGGTGTTTATTAAATTCTCAGAGCAAGATTTAAAAAAAAAGTAGCTTTGAAACGATTTTTTTTTTTTATTTTAAAAATTGCTACATTTATTTCAATGGGGAATTCTGGAAAAACGGTAGGTTTTATTGAAAAAATAAGGCCGAAAGTAACTTCTGGAGGTCAAAATCTACAAGAAAATGTCTTTAGGTAAATTCCGAAAATGGAAAAAATGTTGAAATTTTCATAAGCTTTCATAGGGAGAAGTATTGAAAAATTGGGCTTTTAAAAATACTGCCTAAAAATCCACAAAAAATGCTGGGATACAAATATCGACATGCTGATTGGAAAAATATAGCGCGTTTATATGAGTTTTTTTTTAATTTTAAAAGTTGCCATATTTATTGCAATGGGGAATTCTTGAAAAACGGTAGATGTCACCGAAGAAATAAGACCGAAAATAACTTCTAGAAGTCGGAATGTACAAGAAAATGTCTTTGGGTAAATTTCAAAGGTGGTCGAAAAAGGGTCGAAATTTCCATAAGGGAGGCGTTCTGAAAAATGAAGTTTTTGAAAAAGTTACCTAAAAATCTACAAAAAATTCTGGAATACATATGGCTGTATTGATTCGAAAAATATAGGGTGTTTGTTAAATTCCCAGAGCAATATTAAAAAAAAAGTAGCTTTGAAATATTTTTCTTTTTTTTTTTAAATTGATACATTTATTTCAATGGGGAATTTTGGAAAAACGGTAGGTTTTATTGAAAAAATAAGGCCGAAAGTAACTTCTGGAGGTCAAAATCTACAAGAAAATGTCTTTAGTTAAATTTCGAAAATGGAAAAAATGTTGAAATTTTCATAAGCTTTCATAGGGAGAAGTATTGAAAAATTGGGCTTTTAAAAATACTGCCTAAAAATCCACAAAAAATGCTGGGATACAAATATCGACATGCTGATTGGAAAAATATAGCGCGTTTATATGAGTTTTTTTTTTAATATTAAAAGTTGCCATATTTATTGCAATGGGGAATTCTTGAAAAACGGTAAATGTCACCGAAGAAATAAGACCGAAAATAACTTCTAGAAGTCGGAATGTATAAGAAAATGTCTTTGGGTAAGTTTCAAAGGTGGTCGAAAAAGGGTCGAAATTTCCATAAGGGAGGCGTTCTGAAAAATGAAGTTTTTGAAAAAGTTACCTAAAAATCTACAAAAAATTCTGGAATACATGTGGCTGTATTGATTCGAAAAATATAGGGTGTTTATTAAATTCTCAGAGCAAGATTTAAAAAAAAAGTAGCTTTGAAACGATTTTTTTTTTTTATTTTAAAAATTGCTACATTTATTTCAATGGGGAATTCTGGAAAAACGGTAGGTTTTATTGAAAAAATAAGGCCGAAAGTAACTTCTGGAGGTCAAAATCTACAAGAAAATGTCTTTAGGTAAATTCCGAAAATGGAAAAAATGTTGAAATTTTCATAAGCTTTCATAGGGAGAAGTATTGAAAAATTGGGCTTTTAAAAATACTGCCTAAAAATCCACAAAAAATGCTGGGATACAAATATCGACATGCTGATTGGAAAAATATAGCGCGTTTATATGAGTTTTTTTTTAATTTTAAAAGTTGCCATATTTATTGCAATGGGGAATTCTTGAAAAACGGTAGATGTCACCGAAGAAATAAGACCGAAAATAACTTCTAGAAGTCGGAATGTACAAGAAAATGTCTTTGGGTAAATTTCAAAGGTGGTCGAAAAAGGGTCGAAATTTCCATAAGGGAGGCGTTCTGAAAAATGAAGTTTTTGAAAAAGTTACCTAAAAATCTACAAAAAATTCTGGAATACATATGGCTGTATTGATTCGAAAAATATAGGGTGTTTGTTAAATTCCCAGAGCAATATTAAAAAAAAAGTAGCTTTGAAATATTTTTCTTTTTTTTTTTAAATTGATACATTTATTTCAATGGGGAATTCTGGAAAAACGGTAGGTTTTATTGAAAAAATAAGGCCGAAAGTAACTTCTGGAGGTCAAAATCTACAAGAAAATGTCTTTAGTTAAATTTCGAAAATGGAAAAAATGTTGAAATTTTCATAAGTTTTCATAGGGGGAAGTATTGAAAAATTGGGCTTTTGAAAACACTGCCTAAAAATCCACAAAAAATGCTGGAATACAAATATCGACATGCTGATTGGAAAAATGTAGCGCGTTTATGAGTTTTTTTTTAATTTTAAAAGTTGCCATATTTATTGCAATGGGGAATTCTTGAAAAACGGTAGATGTCACCGAAGAAATAAGACAGAAAATAACTTCTAGAAATCGGAATGTACAAGAAAATGTCTTTGGGTAAGTTTCAAAGGTGGTCGAAAAAGGGTGGAAATTTCCATAAGGGAGGCGTTCTGAAAAATGAAGTTTTTGAAAAAGTTACCTAAAAATCAAAAAAAAATTCTGGAATACATATGGTTGTATTGATTCGAAAAATATAGGGTGTTTGTTAAATTCCCAGAGCAATATTTAAAAAAAAAGTAGCTTTGAAATGATTTTTTTTTTAATTTTAAAAATTGCTATATTTATTTCAATGGGAATTCTGGAAAAGTGGTTGGTTTTACTGAAAAAATAAATCCGAAAGTAAATTCTGAAGGGTCTAGATCTAGAAGAAAATATCTTTAGTTAACTTTCAAAAGTAGTTGAAAAAGGGTTGAAATTTTAATTAAGCGGGTATTGAAAAATTGAGCTTTTGAAAAAGTTGTCTTAAAATCCACAAAAAATTCTGGGATCAACATATCGACGTGTTGATTCCAAAAATATAGCGTGTTTAGCAGAGCAAAATTTTAGAAATATTCGGTTTGAAATTCAATTTCTTAAAAAAAAAGCTAAAAATCGACCTATTTCAAGCGACTGTTATAGAAAACGGTAGGTGTTATCCAAAAATAAAGCGCCGAAAGTAACAGCTAGAAGTCTAAATCTATTATAAGAACATGTTTTTAGGTCAGTTGCGAATGTGGTCGAAAAAGGATCAAAATTTCCATAAAAGAAAATGTAGAAAAATTGAGCTTTTGAAAAACTTGCCTCAAAATCTACAAAAAACTGAGGTACAGATATTGACGTGCTGATTTGAAAAATATAGTATTTGTGGTCACAGAGCAAAATTTTAGAGATATTCGGTTTTAAACTCAATAAAAACGAAATTCTGAAAACATTATAGGTGTTATCGATGAAACAGAGTCAAGAGTACCTCTGGAGGTCGAAATCTACAAGCAAATGTCTTTAGGTAAATTTCGAAAAATGTTGAAATTTTAATAATTTTTCATAATAAATTGAAAAATTGGGCTTTTGAAAAAAATTGCCTAAAAATCCACAAAAAATTCTAGGATACAAATATCAACGTGCTAATTCGAAAAATATAGCCTGTTTATAGTCCCAGAGCACGATTTTAGAAATAGTCGCTTTGAAATAATTTTTTTTAGCTTTAAAAATTGCCACATTTATTTAAATGGGGAATTCTGGAAAAATGGTAGGTGGTACTGAGGAAATAAGACCGAAAATAACTTCTGGGGGTCTGAATACAGAAGAAAATGTCTTTGGGTAAATTTCAAAGGTGGTTGAAAAAGGATCGAATTTTTTTAAGGGAGGAGTACTGAAAAATTAACTCTTTGAAAAAGTAGCCCAAAAATCTTCACAAAATTCTAGAATACGGATAACGCCGAGCTGATTAGAAAAATAAAACGTTCAAAAACAAAATTTTAGAAATATTGTGTTTGAAATTCGATTAAAAAATATACTTAAAAATTGCCATATTTCAATGGGCGGTTTTGAAAAAATGGTAGGCGTTATCGAAGAAGCAGGGCCAAAAGTAACTTCTGGAGGTCGAAATTTACAAGAACGGGTTTTTAGATTACTTTCGAAAGTCGAAAAAAGGTTGAAATCTTCATAAGTTTTCATAAGGGGGAGTATTGAAAAATTGAGCTTTTGAAAAAATTGCGTGAGAATCCACCAAAAATTCTAGGATATAGATATCGACGTGCTGATTCGAAAAATATTGCGTGCAAGATTTTAGAAATAGTGGCTTTGAAGTTTTTTAGTTTTAAAAATTGTTATATTTACTTAAATGGAGAATAAGATCGAAAATAACTGGAGGTCCAAATGAAGACGAAAATGTCTTTGGATAAATTTCAAAGGTGGTCGAAAAAGAGTTGAAATTTTCGTAAGGGAGCGTGTTTATAGTCCCAGAGCAAGATTTTTTAAACAGTCGCTTTGAACTTTTTTTTTTAATTGCCATATTTATTTAAAGGAGAAATTTTTGAAAAACAGTACGTGTTGCCGAAGAAATAAAACCGAAAGTAACTTCTGGAAGTCTAAATGTACAAGAAAATGTCTTCAGGAGCAAAATTTTATAAGTACATGTCCAATTTGAAAATCATAAAAAAAAAACTTAAAAATTGTCATATTTCAATAGACGATTTTGAAAAAATAGTAGGTGTTATAGAAGAAACAAAAACAAAAGTAACTTCTGGAAGTCGAAATTTACAAGAAAATGTCTTTAGATAACTTTCGAAAGTGGAAAAAAGTTGAAATTTTCATATGGTGAACTATTGAGAAACTGAACTTTTGAAAATTTGCCTGAAAATCCACAAAAAATTCGGAGCAAGATTTTAAAAATATTCTCTTTGAAATTCAATTTTTTTTTAATTAAAAATGAAACTTAGATTTACCAAATTGGTATGAGTTTTCTAAAATAAGTTAGAGAATAGACAACTAAAGAAAATTTCCAGAGTACATGGTACGAAAGTTTTAATACGAAATTCATTGTAAAAATATACTGAGCAAACAAGAAAGTCAATTAATCACCACCTGATTCAAATGTCATAATTATATTGATCTCAAATTCGGTAACAGTTCTGAAAAATCACATGGTCACAGTACCTAAAAAAGCAGTTTGAAATTATTTACATCTACAAAGAGTTACAATTTGTTTGAGATCTTTAAGAATCTAGAGATATTTAAAAACAGGGACAGAGTGCTCAACGCAGAATCTGGTTTAATTCACCCATTCTTCTCTCCTCTTCTCGCTTATGGTAATGGCAGTTCAAAAAGTGACTAGTACGTCATGCCATAAAGACGCAGTTTAATTTATTATTTTCTGTTCTATGTAAGATGACGAAAGTTTGTCATTTATGTCAAATTTTTTAGTGTCATATCAGTTCTAACGTTTTTTTTTTGCGATATGACGGCAATCAAACCGGATTAGGTTGATCAATTCAAACGTACCATTCTTTTTAGACGCCCTATATACGTAGATACAACACGTCAGGTAGTTAAATGTATACGCATACGTATGTAATTATGTATATATTACTTAGTACTCGCCTAAACGTGACTCAAAAATATGTATTTCGTTCAGTGACAAACAAGTCCATAACAGATAAGTGTAAATGTACTTAAAACGACTCTAGTGTTTTGAACTTATGCGTATTATACATATTACAAAACAAGTGAAGAGTAGAGTAGTTCGGTGTTTTTTAAGTTGTGTTTGAATTTTTCTTGAAGAGTAAGTACCGCATATCTTCCAGTGACAGGTTCCACTAATTATCTCCTCATGATGCTTAATCCTAAATACTCTTAACTTGTGTTGCTATGTTTCGTAAATTATTAAAAATTCGCAAACACAAGCAATTCCTGTATTTTCATTGCCAATTAAATTTAATTACTTTCAATGAATAACTGTAAACGATATAAACGTCACAATGAATTATATTTGTACTAGCACAAAATTGCCCAATTGTGCATCCCTAACTATCAACGTTCATTACAAAATGTGAATAATCTGACATGAAACAACTAAAAACGACTATATAGTTAAAAAAAAAATCCTCTTACCCCACTCCTCCTCGAAGTCATCGCCACAATGGGACTCCACGTGTTCGTATGGGGATTATACCTCTCAGCGCTCGAGAGTTCCATGCAATCATCCCTACCACCAACCGCATAAATTAAATTATTAAAGACAGCACAGCCTAAATGTTTCCTACGAGTCGACATGGGACTAACCAGAGCCCACTTATTGTGTCTCGGGTCATATCTCTCCACCGTGTTCAGAGGAGATTGCCCATCGGAGCCCCCTATCGCATACAAATATCCACCCAACACCGCCACAGCAACTCCTAAACGCCTCGTGGTCATCGGGGCTACTTTGGTCCATTTGTTTTCTTTGGGATCGTATCTCTCGACGTGATTCAGACACTGAACGCCGTCTTGACCGCCAACGGCGTAGAGGAGGTTGTCGAGTACTGCCACCCCCACACTAGTTCGGCAGGAGGTGGTCGGGGCCACGTCGCACGACCATTGGTCGGTTTGAGGGTCATACCTAAAACGTAAAGTTACAAATTTATTTAAAATGTGACTGACTTTTAACCAAAATATAAGTACATAATTATGTACCATGATTTAAAGTTACGAGTAGTTTGGAAATTAATTTTTATTTAACTTAATGCAAGAAAGTTCATAACAGGGTGATTTTTTTATCATTTTGGGATCACACTGAATTTAAGTAAAGATTTAAATAATATTTTTACCACAATCTAATTATTGGAAACAACAATTCCAAAATTAATATAATAATGTGCACGTACACAAAATCGTCAAAAATCGAAAAAAAAAATGTTCCTTGCTACAGAAATTACGAAAATGTTAAATTTAACGAATAAATTAAAAAATATCATAACTAAACAATAAAAAAATGCTCTAATGTTATTCAAATAGAGAACTTCCCACACCCCTGAAGCATAATCCGTTCAACAACTCCAGTTTCTTAGATAAATTGTAAAATTTAATGCCACAGTCTATTTTCGGTGTTAAGCCTTAAAATTACTGATTTTAATAATCCTTATTTTTTTTTTGTCAATTTAGGGAAATATAATGCATATTACAGCCATTTTAAGTGCAGTGTAATTTAAAATTAAATACGGACAATGTAAAATATACTTAAAACAGATAACCAACGGGAAAATTGGCCTCTGAGCAGTAATGACAAGCTTTAATTTCAAGTGCTTGTTTATACATCGGAAGAATGTCACGTAGAAATTTGTTTGATTTGAATGAGTGTGTCTTCTTAAAACAGAGGACTAAAATTGTTAATTAAACCACAGTCAAACAAATGTTCTGAAAATTATTATTATTATTAAATAAAGACGTGCGTATTCTCATTTTTTCGAGAAAATCTGGTGACTAGTTCATAATTTGATCAAGAAAAAAATTGTTATGATATTATAAACGCGTTTGAAGCTCTAACGCACTAAGCCACGATCGGGACATCGTACACTAATGGTAAACTCTTATTACTTATTTATTATACTGTGGCAATGTTTTTGCGCCAATTTGGACGGTTAGGGAAAAAAATCAAAGCGGATTCGTAAATCACACGTATAGGAGTATATTGTTGTATAATTTTTAAATCATATAAACGTAGAATTCTTTGAAATGACGTCATCTCATAATTGTTGGTGGAAATGATTAGCCAAAGTTGGGTTAACGTTTAACCATCTATATGATATTCTTAAAATGCATACAAAATTTGACAACAATCGGGAGACTACTTTTTTTGTACTGTAAGGGTCATGAAACGTCGAGAAAACATAAAAGTGGCCATTCGGCCTTGACATTTGTGGATGCATGACAAACATTTTACCAATGAAAATACAGTCTTAAAAAAATTATACTAGATTTTATAAAAATATAAATTACTATAAATTTCCATAAATCAACTCTCGGAGTAGAGGTTGTCCACAGTAACCCTTAAGTGGGATTTATCAACTTGCTGCTGACGTTGAAGATCGCGTTACAGTTGATTACTACAAACGTTTACCATTTTAGACATGTTTTAAGTTTCTTGGTGTCGAAATAAGTCTACACATTAAGAAAAACAGGCAAAAATGTAGCCCCACCCACCCACCCAATCTCAATTGTGATGATTTTTTGTATTCGTCGTGAGCCAAGAGGGCGGAGCTTAACTGCAAAATCCTTCTTCCATGCTTTTGAATAAGATAAAGCCAAAGATTAGGCGCCACCCATTCCCGCCCCGATATCAATTCTCAATTGTGATGAATTTTTCATTCGTTGTCAGATCGAGAGGCGGGGCTTAATTTGTCTACAAGAATTTACCATTTCAAACATGTTTTAAGTTTCTAAGAAAAATGAATAATCATAATTGGGATGGGGTGGGTGGGGTTATAATTTTGCTTTTTTTCTTAATATACACAGTAATCTTTGAAGAACACGATACTCAAAAACATGTTTTTAATTTCTCGTAAAGAAATAAGTATTTTGCAGTTAAGTTCCGCCCTCTTGGCCCACGGCGAATAAAAAAATCATCACAATTGATATAGGGCGGGTGGGCGGGCTTACATTTTACCTTTTTGTTTTAATAAGTATAGACTTCTTTTCGCAACATGGAACTTAAAACATGTTTAAGATGGAAAATTTGTATAAGGAAATATCGATTTTGTAATTTGGCTCCGCCTCATGATTTCAAAATCCAAAGTTTTTTGTTGTGAAAAGATGGCTATGTTTATTAAAAAAATATTCAAAGTATAATTCCACCATTTCTTTTTGACGTTCTTTAAACCTTCATTTAAAAATCATCCTGTCTGAAAAAGTTTTGCCTTTTCTATAGAAAACAAACAAAAATAGGTTTTCAATATTACTCATTATTTTTCAGAAAAAAAATATATTTTTACTATTTTTGAATTTTGAGATTTAGTTTTTTTTCCTTAGAACTTTTTGAGTGAAACATCGTTTTGACTTTTCTATAGAAAACAAACAAAAACAGATTTTGAATAGGTATTACTCATTATTTTTCAGAAAAAAAGTATGTTTTTACTATTTTTGAATTTTGAGATTTAGTATTTGATTTTTTTTCCTTGGAACTTTTTGAGTGAAACATCAAAAACGCCATTTTTGCTTCCGGAGTGTAAGCGAAGGAACTACTGTAATCGAGTCCATCGGACGAATGACCACTTTTATGTTTTCTCGACGTTTCATGACCCCTACAATACGAAAAAATTGGTCTAAAGAGTTTCGACAGTACTTCCCTCGCTGTCGGAAACGTGACGACTGCATGCCTATTATGTTTTTTTTCGCATTACATTTTTGTAGCGTGGCATTTTAAAATAATTGAGTAATGAGTATTAATTTTTTCAGTTTTGTCATTATTTGGCATTGATATCTTTGCCATTTTTTTCTGTCCTTAGGTTATTCTCGATAAAAAACAACTTGAAAGTGTTTATCTTTATACATCGGAAGAATGTCACGTAGAAATTACTTTGGTTTGAATGAGTTCGTCCCCTCAAAACAGAGGATCAAAACAATTAACTTATAAGCTACAATCGACAAAATGTTCTGAATATTATTATAATTCTTATTAAATAAAGACGTTTGTATTTTCAGATTTTCCGGAAAATGGGGTGACTCGTTCTTAATTTGATCAATAAAAAATATCAGTGCTATGATAAATCACAAGTAAAAACTCATCATATTTTGCACATTTTGGGTAGAATTTATTCGGCAAAATTTTGAGATAATGTCATCAATTTTTGGGGGAAATAAACAGATTTATTTTGATTAACAATTTCAGGGTACCCACTACTCAGATTTTTTTTTATGGCGGAAATTTTTTTATGACAATAATAATTCGTTATTTTTCCCAAAAAAGTTTCATTTGCATTCAGATACGTACATATAACATTAACATCAACGTAAGAAAAAAACACGATTTCTGTTCACATAATAAAAACTAAATATGGTGAAAAAATGTGCCGCACGTCTTTTAAAAAAGAATTGTCCAAAGGATGTTTTTTTTTGGAGGTACTTTGAAGTTTCTTTAAAGAATTTCAAAAATTCATTAAGTAATACCAGTGAGTCTTTAGAAGAAGATACATTTGAATCATTGATCATTTTTTTATTGTTAAATTTAACTTAACTTCTTTAAGGTGATTACTGCTGTTACTGCAAACATTTTTTTGCAATAAGTCGTCCTCCAGTTTCTTTCCCTCCCTAGTTAGAAGTTTGTGTTTTAAAAAATGACTCATTAAAGTATATAACAAATCAGAGAAGCCATCATATAAAAGATGAATTAGGGCTTGTTCTCCTTGAAATTTTGTCAGGAATTCCTCAAAAATTTGTGCAATATAAATAGAAAAATTAATATAAATACTGGTCTTTGGATAATAATTGTTATAATTCTTTTGTATCGACTAGTGTTTTTAATTTCTTTTGAAAAATTCTTTTGCTTTGGTAAAATCTCTTTGAAATATTTCTTAATATTATTCATCTGTTCCAAAATTTTTACTAACGCTGGTTTTAAAGATAACCACCTTGTTGAGCAATAACTCAGAAAGAAAGAATTTGAATCTTCGGCCATATCAATTATAGCTTTATAATCTTCCCGTCTTGCACTTAAAAAAGAAAACTAAATCATTAATAAATGATTCAAATTGACTGTTCAGGCACTCTAAACCTTTCTTAAAACAGTTGTGAACAATATGAAGGTTACAAGTTTTTTTTTTCTAAAATTCCTGTTCCATGTACTCGTTTAAGTTCTTCTTTTATAAGAATTTCAAATGTTAAATTGACGTTAGGACCGTCCATTCCAATATGGATTAGGCATGAGAAATCCGAATTGTTTTCAGTGAAGAACTTGAAAAACACTGGCTACTATGGCACCAACTGGACAACAAAATTTAACACCAAAATTTAAATATAGAAATAATTGAAAATCAGATAACCTTTCATACAAATTAAATTTTTATGACATCCTTGAATTTTATGATATATTATGATTTTTGTCACACAAGCAAAATTTTACGATTCTTTATGATTTTATGACAAGTGGGTACCCTGCAATTTACCATGCTTGCAATGACTTTAAAACGTCTGCAAGATTTCAAAGTATTCAGTTTCGCAATTCTTGATTTAATCAATAAAATTAATTGACTCAGTCATTAATTTTTTTCAGACACCCATGCTTATGATAAATTTAAACCATCTCCAAGATTTCAAAGCATTCGGTTTTGCAGATTCCAAATTAAATTGCAAAATGTTGTTTCATAATTTTGATTTTTTTCAAAAAATCTGGAAGTTTCGGGTAAAAGCCCAATACGGAGTCATAGACTACATGTATAGGACTATGTTATTTCATACAATTTAAAATTAAGAGATTATCTGTCTAATAAAAATTCGGCACGGCAGACAGACGCACAGACAGACAGAAACAGGAGACCTATTTCTTCGTACTCTAGGGGTCATGAAAGGTCGAGAAAACGACGGACTCGATTACAATACTTTCTTTGCTTACGCTCGGGAAGTAATTAGTTAATGTGTTGTGATTATGACTCATCTAGTTTGAAAAATATGCATTTCGAAAATAACTAACACAACTGAAATAAAAGTTCTAGTGTAAATTATAACCCTCCTGTTTGTCCTTGAAAAAAGAAACTTTACAAATTCCAAAATCACGTAAACAAGATAATGAAATCTTGATGGATTTATAATTACCAAGTTCTATGACATATTAGGGACTTATTTTCCAAGAATCCACGGGGATCCTCTGCTTTGCAAAGATTTAACCTCGAAACATGACCCTATTTTCGTAAAAATATTCACATTTTTTTTTAATTACGAACCCAAAATTTGATATATTTTCGAAAATTTACTGTATAACAGAATCGGCAGTAAGCAGACAAACAAAGAAACTACAAAATTAGGGCATTCATCAAAATAATCCCCCTTAGTGTCAGTCTAGGTACTTTACCAAATGCAAAAAAGTTTGCTGACGTTATTTAGCATTGCATGGACAAAGACAGTTTAATCACTGCAAAAGGAAGTCTCCAATATATCCTGTTTTTGCACTCATTATCATTATCTTTACACATAAAAATTTAATCACGTCCATGTGTAACTTCCTTATATCTCTGTATTACATTAAAAAATAATAACTATACTATTAAAAAAAATAAACCTTTCAATGCTGTTGAGGTAACTTTGTCCATCATGTCCCCCGACGGCGTACAATAAATCATTCAAAACTGCAACTCCAACCCCGCACCTCCTCTTGCTCATGGGGGCAACCATTTTCCATTCCATAGTTTGTGGATCAAATTTTTCCACAGAAGCAATAGCATCCCCACTGCACCATCCTCCGACAGCAAACAAAACTTCTCCCCTTCTAGTAGGTTTTCTAGGCCTAGTTCTAGGTCCCTGCATTAAAGGTCTCTCCTGGGGCAGCAGCAAATAGTTTTTTGCTTCATCGACAAGATCTCGACATGACTCATCTGAACGCACTAACAGATCCGAACCCACAGTCCCCACCAAAAATTTTGGGCTCAATAAAGGCAACCTGACGTGTTGCAGAACTTGATGCAAGTGTTGCCTCCTCTCGGTCACGTTGTACTTAACCCATGACATGACAGCGTTGAAAACCTGTTCTTCGGTGCGAACGTTAAGCTCATCACTTGAAATAATATCAACTAATTGTCCAACCGGTAGCAATAGAAACTCTTCACTTTCCATGACCTCTTGAAAATTATGCTGGGTGAACTTATCGGCGATTCTCAGCAGTTCTCGACACGAATGCGTGTCAGCGAAGGCTCTAATCCCAAGACAGTTTGACGGATCTAATTGACGCTTTAAAAACTCGCAACAAATATCCTGAATTTCAGTCAGTTGTAAAAGACACGCTGCTGGCAGCAGCATTTGCACGTTTGACTCTTCGACAATGATATGAGAGGTATAGCAGAAGTCGATTAGTAGATCCATGGCGATTTCATCAATGTCACGTATCGTGACTTCGGTTTGTCGCGACTCTGCCAACTCCCCTGTGAACATAGCGCGAAAATAGGGGCTGCAAGCGCTCAGGATGACCCGATGTGCGAAGATCTTCCTCGTGCCGACGTTCAAGACGACATCGCATAGCTCCCGATGTCTTCTCAGTAGGTTTAGTTCCGTTAGTGTGTTCTTTGGGTGTTTATCTGAGGTGTGGGAGAGCCTCGCCGGAGACGGTGGGCGATCTCCAACTGCCATCTCCCCCATTCTGCAGGTGCCCCGAATGTGGGAGGCCAGTTGGAGGCGCAAGGGCGGAGACGCCCAACCCCACACGGAGTCTATCTGTAACGAGACATTCGCAAACAATTTCATAATCACATGATTTCGAAATTTACCTTCGCTTCTTTTCTTGCACTCGGATCGAAAGCCAAATGGGAGAATCGTCACCTAAAGAATGCAACGTGGGTTTTCAATTCATGTCAACGAAACACATTTTACGCTTTTCCACCAGCACGTAATTGGTAAACACACAAACACCTCAAAAAACCAAAATTAACTGTATTGACGTAAGTGTCAACATATGTCATTTGTTTTGACAGAGTCTGGGGAGTTTGTTTTTACTCCGGAAAGTAGGTCGCAAGTTCAAAATTTAGCGGGAGTTGGTTATTTTAGCACTTAATAAATAACAAACCGTTAAATAATACAATTACGTCACTCAAAACCCGTTTCGTGCTGTTTCCAAATGTAAGTCGTTTTAAAAAACTCGTAAAATTATCAGTAATTGATTTGTTCGTGACCGGGTCACGTCATACGGTACCACACGCTTTTTGTCAAAATGATGCCTAAATAAATATTCCGGCTCGGAAAAGTATTGTAATTCGTCAGATCCGTATTAAAACACATTACCACTTTATTATTTTTGTTGCAGATCGGTGTAGAACTTACAGTAAATTTTACAAGTCGTAGCTGTTTTGAGGTTATGTTGACAAATTTCCACAATGGCAAATATAGTAGTGAGGAGGTATTTGGGGCGAAATTTATTCAAGTTGAAGGAACCGACACACTTTATCAACCACAGTCGATGTGCAAGTGTTTTCGTCGTTAATTTTAACCAGAGGAACGGCTCGCTATTTAATAACAACCCTCAAAAATCAGTTTTTATAAGACCGAGTCAAGTACAGTTTTTCTCAGACAAACCCAGCGACAAATTTAAAAATGAACAGCAGCTTACTTTATTTCAAAAGTTTAAACAGATGTATAAAGATTACTGGTATGTTCTGGTGCCAGTTCATCTAGTCACGTCAGCAGCATGGTTTGGTGGATTTTATTATTTAGCTAAAAGGTATTTCTAATATTTGAAGCTTCCAAAGTTACATTTAAAATTATTTCAGTGGTGTTGACGTCGCAGGTATTTTAGAATCATGGAATGTCAGTCCACGTATTACAAGTCCTCTCAAAGATTCCAGTATGGGGTATATTGCTATTTCATATGCCCTTTATAAAATAGCAACCCCTGCAAGGTATACAGTCACTTTAGGAGGAACCACTGTTTCCATTAATTATTTGAAAAAGTGGGGTTACATCAAACCAGTTCCCAGTCCAGAAAAATTGAAAGAAATGTATCTAGAAAAGAAGGACAACTTGATGGAAACCATGAGGGAAACCAGAGATGGTTTGAAAGTGCAGTCAGAGAAACTGAAAGACACGAAAGATCACATTATTGATGATTTGGACAAAGGTATTCAACACATCAAGGGATTAGGTGATAAAATTAAAAGTAAGGAGGGAGAGGATGAGGGGGTAACAAAAAATAAGAAAAAAAAGTCTAAAGAAGATAAGAGTTAACTTTTTGGAATGTTTATAGTGGATAGGATACAAAATATATATTTATTTTGCAAGGCAAACTTCCTTTATTAATAAAATATTGTTTTATTTTAATGCTCGTTTTTTTCCTTGTCCAGTCTTAATTATTTGTTCATGTGGCTTGAAAAAAAACATTGGTCGAAGGTTATTTGGACAGAACTTCCTTCGCCCCTGAAGAGCCTAACAAATCCCGCTTCTTTCAAATATTAAAAAGAAAATGCGATTTTTGTGTTGTGATAACTTTAACTAAAATTAAAACCAATGGTGTAAATAACACTCCCGCAGCTGTTTTGAACAAAATTTTTGCAAATCTTCAGTTTTTCATTTTCCCAACTTGTAAATTTATCAACTTTCCATTTTGTATATTTTTTTTTAATTTTTCATTTCTTCAATTTTTCGATTTGCAGTTTTTCGCTTCGGTTTTTATTTCTATTTTAACTTTCCAATTTTTGGAAGTTTCAGTTTCACGAGTTTTCAATTTTTCGATTTTTTAAATTTTCTTTTTCGATTTACAATTTTTCGTTTCGATTTTTTATTTTCTTTATTTTTTCAATAATGTTCCGATTTTATAATTTTTCTTTTTTCAGTGTTTGAATGTTTCAATTTTTCGATTTGCAATTTTTAGATTTATTAATTTTTCATTTTTTCAGTTTATTTAGATTTTCCAGTTTCTCGATTTTTTATTTTTTGTTTCTTCAATTTTTGAGTTGCGATTTTTCTAGTTCTCATTTTAAATAATAATCATAAAAAATTAATAATGTAATAGGAGTAATAAGCAAAAATCGAAAAATTGAATAAATGAAAAAGTTTTTCTAAAACTGTAAAATTGAAAATTTTTTTTATAAAATTTTTCAGTTTCAATTTTGCAGTTTTAAATTGTATTATAAAATTTTTCACCTTTTCTTAATAAAACTTTTTCATTTATTCAATTTTTAGATTGTTCAGTGTTATGGTTTTTCAACTTCAGATTTTATCAATTCTATAATTTTTCAATTTTGAAATTTTTAGTTTTCCAATTTTACTATTCAGTTCGTTGTTTCTTCTTTCCAATTTTTCGATTCATTATTTTTTTTTATTTTTAAGATTCCTAATTTTTAGTTTTTCACTGTTTCAATTTTTCCATTCTTCAGTTCTCCGGTTTACAATTTTTCGATTTTCTCCACTTTTTTGATTTTGGAATTTCTTGTTCCCTCAGTCTTTCGATTTTTCTTTTTTTTTCGATTTTTAGTTTTCCGGTTTTGAATTTTTCGGTTTCAACTTTTCTTATCAAAAATATGGAAACATATAATAACAAGTATAACAAGTATAAAATAAAAACTTTGGAAAATCTAAAAATTGGAAATTAAGAACTTGAAAAATTGAGAAACTTCAAAATCAAAAAAAAGAAATATTGTAAAATCGAAATATTGAAAATTAAAGAAATTGGAAAATCGGATACTTAACTGAGAAATCCAAAAATTGCAAAATTGAAAAACTTTAAAATTGGAAAATTGAGGAATTGAAAAATCAAAGACTGAAAATTTGAACAATTGAATAAACGAAAAATTATAACATCGAAAGAAACACTGGAAAAATAAAGGGAATGAACAAACAAAAAATTGTGATATAAAATCCAGAAAATAAAAATTAAAGTCGGGAAAATGAAAAATTAAAAAGTATTAAATGAAAACTTTGAAAAATCTAATAATTGGAAATTGGGAACTTGAAAAATTGAGAAATTCAAAATCGAAGAAAGAAATATTGTAAAATCGAAATAGTGAAAATTAACAAAATTAGAAAATCGGATAACTGAGAAATCTAAAAATTGCAAAATTGAAAAATTGCAAAATTGAAAAATTTTAACATTGGAAAATCGAGGAATTGAAAAATCAAAAATTGAAAATTTTAAGACAGATTTGAAAAATAAAGAAAATAAAAAAACAAATAATTGTGATATAAAATCCAGAAAATGAAAATTAAAAAGTCGGGAAAATGAAACATAAAAAAGTGTAAAATGAAAACTCTGAAAAATATAAAAATTTATAATTAAGAACTTGAAAAATTGAGGAACTTCAAAATCAAAAAAAGAAATATTGTAAAATCGAAATATTGAAAAAATAAAGTAATTGCAAAATCGAAAAATTGAGAAATCAAAAAATTGCAACATTGAAAAATTTTAACATTGAAAATAGACGAATTGAAAAATCTAAGATTGAAAATTTGAAAAATTGAATAAACGAAAAATTATAAAAATCCAAAAAAACATTGGAGAAATAAAGGAAATGAAACAAAAAAATTGTGATATAAAAACCACAAAATGAAAATCAAAGTCGGGAAAATGAAAAATAAAAAAATATATATAAAATGAAAACTTTGAAAAATCTAAAAATTGGAAAATAAAAACTTGAAAAACTGACAAACTTCAAAATCAAAAAAAGAAATATTGTAAAATTGAAATATTGAAAGTTAAAGAAATTGGAAAATCTGAAAACTGAGAAATCAAAAAATTGCAAAATTGTTAAATTTTAATATTGGAAAATCGAGGAATTGAAAAATCAAAGACTGAAAATTTGAAAAATTGAATAAACGAAAAATTATAAAATCCAAAGAAACATTGGAAAAATAAAGGAAATGAAGAAACAAAAAATCGTGATATAAAAACCAGGAAATGAAAGTCAAAGTGGTGAAAATGAAAAATAAAAAAAGGATAAAATGAAAACTTTGAAAAATATAAAAACTGGAAATTAAAAACTTGAAAAATTGAGAAACTTCAAAATCAAAAAAAGAAATATTGTAAAATCGAAATATTGAAAATTAAAGAAATTGGAAAATCGGAAAATTGAGAATTCAAAAAATTCCAAAATTGAAAAATTGAATAAACGAAAAATTATAAAATCCAGAAAATGAAAATGAAAGTCCGGAAAATGAAAAATAAAAAAAGTATAAAATGAAAACTTTGAAAAATCTAAAAATTGGAAATTAAGAATTTGAAAAAATGAGAGAATTCAAAATCAAAAAAAGAAATATTGTAAAATCGAAATATTGAAAACTAAAGAAATCGGAAAATCGGAAAACTGAGAAAACAAAAAAATTGCAAAATTGAAAAATTTTAACATTGGAAAATCGAGGAATTGAAAAATCAAAGATAGAAAATTTGAAAAATTGAATAAACAAAAATTGTAAAATCCAAAGAAACATTGAAAAAATAAAGAAATGAAAAAACAAAAAAAAATTGTGATATAAAATCCAGAAAATGAAAAATAAAAAAAGTATAAAATGAAAACTTTAAAAAATATAAAAATTGGAAATTATGAATTTGAAAAATTGAGAGAATTCAAAATCAAAAAAAGAAATATTGTAAAATCGAAATATTGAAAATTAAAGAAATGGGAAAATCGGAAAACTGAGAAATCAAAAAATTGCAAAACTGAAAAATTTTAACATTGGAAAATCGAGGATTTGAAAAATCAAAGACTGAAAATTTGAAAAACTGAATAAATGAAAAATTATAAAATCCAAAGAAACATTGGAAAAATAAAGGAAATGAAGAAACAAAAATTTGTGATATAAAATCCAGAAAATGAAAAATAAAAAAAGTATAAAATGAAAACTTAAAAAAATATAAAAATTGGAAATTAAGAATTTGAAAAATTGAGAGAATTCAAAATCAAAAAAAGAAATATTGTACAATCGAAATATTGAAAATTAAAGAAATGGGAAAATCGGAAAACCGAGAAATCGAAAAATTGCAAAATTGAAAAATTTTAACATTGGAAAATCGAGGAATTGAAAAATCAAAGATAGAAAATTAGAAAAATTGAATAAACAAAAATTGTAAAATCCAAAGAAACATTGAAAAAATATAGAAATGAAAAAACAAAAAATTGTGATAAAAAATCCAGAAAATGAAAAATAAAGTCGGGAAAATGAAAAATAAAAAAAGTATAAAATAAAACTGAAAATCTAAAATTTGAAAATTACTTGAAAAATTGAGAAACTTCAAAATCAAAAAAAGAAATATTGTAAAATCGAAATATTGAAAACTAAAGAAATCGGAAAATCGGAAAACTGAGAAAACAAAAAAATTGCAAAACTGAAAAATTTTAACATTGAAAAATCGAGGAATTGAAAAATTGAATAAACAAAAATTGTAAAATCCAAAGAAACATTGAAAAAATAAAGAAATGAAAAAACAAAAAAAAAAAAGTGATATAAAATCCAGAAAATGAAAAATAAAAAAAGTATAAAATGAAAACTTTGAAAAATCTAAAAATTAGAAATTAAGAATTTGAAAAATTGAGAGAATTCAAAACCAAAAAAAGAAATATTGTAAAATCGAAATATTGAAAATTAAAGAAATTGGAAAGTCCGAAAACTGAGAAATCAAAAAATTGCAAAATTGCAAAATTTTAATATTGGAAAATCGAGGAATTGAAAAATCAAACATTGAAAATTTGAATAAACGAAAAATTATAAAATCCAAAGAAACATTGGAAAAATAAAGGAAATGAAAAAACAAAATATTGTGATATAAAATCCGCAAAATGTAAAATAAAAATCAAGAACTTGAAAAACTGAGAAAACGCAAAATTTAAAAATTGAAAAATTAGAAGTTAAGAAACCGAAAAACCGAAAAATGAAAAACTATAAAATCGAAAAATAGTGAAATTGCAAATTGAAACATTTGGGAGTCGAGAAATTGAAAAAAATAATAATGTGGAAAAAACGAAAAATTTTAAAACCGACACATAAAAAGTTGGAAAAATTTGAAAAGAAAATGAAAAACCGAAAAATTGTGATATCATCAAATTGTAAAATCGAAGAACAAGGAAAAACAAAAAATTGTGAAATCAAAAAATTGGTCGAAGGTAAATAAATCCAGATTTTTCGAAAAATTATAAGACTGATTTTGCGAAATTATTTTTTTTATGGTAACCTTGATAACGTCATTCTATTGTTGGCCATCCAACAATTAGTTAACATTTTACCATTTACACAATATTCCTAATACAAATTGACACACTCGACAGTCAGACAGACGGAAACGGGCGACCCATTTTTTCGAACTCCCAAGAGTTATGATTACGAAATGTCGAGAAAACAACAGTAGCCAGTTACGCTCAGGAGGTAACAACAAAGTATTATAAAATGTCACTTGGGGAGTCTAAATTTAAATTATTTCTCTGTACATAGAAAATACAAGGGAATATATGAAACAAACAGTTTTTTTTACATTTTATTTCAATATAAAAGCATAAAAACATTAATTGGAATGAAAATGATCAATAAGCTTGTCCTGTTATTAAAAAAAGATATCACAGCAAATACATCAAAAATTTAAATCGTTCTGTCAGTTTAGATGTCTTAAAGCAACACTGCGATAAAAACTACAATAAAATATAAAAATATTGTAGGAACAACTTGATAAACACACTTAACACCTAAACATTGATTTACATTTGAAGTCCACTTCTTAATAAAAAGAAAGTGAATGAGGCCTGCCTAAATTACCACACATTTTTGTTCTAGGACTCGAATTTCCGGCACGTAAATACTGCTTAATGTACCCTATAATCCTGTTTGTTCATAAATTTGACACACAAAAGTCTTAAAACCATATAAAAACGGAAGTTCAAATTCGTTGTAAATTTGAATAAATAAAAATAAATGCAAATATCTTCTAATACAATCACATTTCATAAGCGATAGGTCATAAATTTACCATTTAAACTTACATAACAATCTTCTAAAACTCTAAAACAGCTTTTAGCGTCTTCCTAACTTGTTAAACGACGATTTTATCGATAATAACAAGCTTAATCTACACACTAAAAGCACAATAGATGAGCAAACCCTCAGTACATTTTCCAATTTAGCCGTTTCCTACATCTCACACTTGGCGATAATTTCTACTTAAAATTATTCTTCAGATGCAGAAACTCTCACTTGCTCGACTTAAAACCTAACTTAATGCTTCTCTACAGCTAGTGTTTAGCCAGTATACTGATATGTGGCTGCCACTGGGTGCATCTGTCTTGGAGTGTGTTGCAATCTTTCAATGTGGCAACTCCGACACATCAAACGACCCTCGAGCGGATAGCACCGCTTATCGGGTTCGTCAGTGAGCTGCATTCCACACTCTTCACAAACATAACAGTCGACGTGGAAATCTTTATCCATGGAGACGACGCGGACGGTTTCTTCAGTACCTTCAACTGGTGTTATACCTAAAAAACAAAAAAACAATAACAAAATATTTTCGGATTCACTACAAAAGTTACCTTTTCCACACGAAGCACACTTAGGTGCAAACATCCTATGGTAGTCGTTGACGCAGTAAATTTTGTTATCGACGTCGACGGTGAACGGCACACCGTCCAAGCATTCGTTGCAAATGCAGCAACGGAAACACCCAGGATGGTACGATTTGCCCATCGCTTGGAGAATCTAGCGTAAACAAATTTATGTAATACGAGTACGTTTAAATCGACAAAACCTACCATTTCCATGATTAGGTGGCCACAAATGGCGCACTTTTCGGCAGTTTGTTGAAATCCTGAATACTGCAAAACATCATTAATTATTTCATTTTCGGATTGAGAGCTGTCTGCGTTAGTCATTACCAGGTAATCTTCTTCGCAGTATACTCTTCCGTGGACGTTATAGAAAGCTTTACCGCGTAAAGCGCGTCCACATGAACAACAAATGAAGCAGTTCGTGTGGTATAAATTACCCATAGCTTGACAAGCTTGACCGGCGCCAGTCACTTTTTCTCCACAAGTGTGGCAAATACCTTAAAATTGATCAATTAGTCAAAGAAGTTTTTGTAACGGGAGTCATAATAAGGCTATTTGTTGGTTTTTCACGAAAATGATAACTTATCATGTCGAAAAATCATTATTTATTTTGTGGCCATTTTTGCAACGTTTAATTTGATTGATATGTGTGTGAGATTAAAAATTAATTAAATGGGAAATTGTCATTTCATTGGATATTATGTTATGAATCATTGCGAAATTTAAAAAAAATAATAATGTTTACATGAAATACAACTTTTATAATTAACCTGAATTAATACTATGCATATGAAGATAACATTTTGTGATAAAAATAGCATTTTAAAACAAGATAACACATGTTGGACAACTCATAAAGCGATAAATATTTGGGTAAAAATGTAAATATGGAAATGTGATGAGATTTACAGTCGTTCCATTAAAAAATAATAACAATAAATACATCAAAACAATTACATCCGAGATACTAACCAAATTTGCACTTGTAGCGTTTCATGAATAATTTATTGGGGTTCATAACAATATTAACTTACTAATTAAATTAGTTTTCTAATTGATGAATAATGGTATCTGCTGCTCTTCATTCTGTCAATTTCGAACGTATCAAACTAATTAATTTAAAATTGTATTATATGTAACTAATATTGTATCCTCCAAAAAACATTATTTATGTATAACTTAACATCCACTCCATATTTTAGTTTTCATGTAGGAATTATCCTAAATTAATTGATTGGATTGTATTTCAGGAGGGAGGAAGTTCTGTCTAAAAACTTAGACTATTTTTTTTCTGATCACATAATTAAATTAAAGTTAAAAAAAATACGACTTCATAATTTGAGTACAAATCAAACCACAAGTACTTAGCAAATATTGGATTATTAACAATTATAAAAGTAACCTTATTTGAGCGAGGATATGGCAAAAAAACATTAATTATTACATTAGTAAGTATCTTGAGAAAAAGGCCTATTTCATTTTATAGATAATAATTCAAATGATGTCTATATTTGTGGATTATGAGTATGAGTCTAATATTAAATTTAAGACAATTGACTTACACAATTATAAAAACAAAAAATGCAATCCAGTAGTACTTCATATGCAAGAGACAAAAAATTGGTTGAAGGTTATTTCGACAGAACTTCCCTCGTGATGATAGTCCGACAAATCTGGCTTGTTTGAAAAATTATAAAACCTGATTTTGCGCTTTTCATTTTATGTAAAATAAAAAATCAGTGGCGCAAATTCCAAGGGGACACGGTGCACACAAGTGTGGACAATATAAAAAATACAGGGTGCTCAAAAAATGGCGTACCAACTGTATGACACGTTGTTGAGGACTGTTTATAGAACAGAGGAAAAATAATTTAAAACATTCTTGGGCTCAAATGTAGAAAATATAGCCCTTCAAAATTTAAATTTTATTTTCAATATTTCACCATATTCTAATTCGTTACTTAGTGTTAGATACATGAAATCAGTTAGGACGAATTGGAAAAGTGTGGCTAATTTTTAGAGTTTTTTTATTTATCGGTCTAAATTGATATTTTGTTATTGTAAGTGAACGTCAAACTGACGTAAGGAATTTTTTAATGACTTTTCCCGAACTTAGACTTGTGAACTTAATAATGTACCGTTGAGTTGGTCCGCCTTTTTTTCAGCATCCTGTGTATTTATTTATAGTACATGCTAATTTCGAAAAAATTCGACTATTAGCACGTTCAGATTACAAGAATCAGCGTTAAAAGAAAATGAAATTTGATTGGTTTTGTTTCAACTAAGAGGAGAGAACTAAGTAATTAATTAACCACACTTATTTTTTACAAAAAAACTCATTAATTAGAAGAATATTTATTCGGCAAAACTGTAAGATGACGTCATAATTTTTTCGGGAGGAGGGAGATAAACGGACATATGTTGATTAATGATTTACCGTGCTTCCAATAACCTTAAAATATTTGCAAGATTTCACAGCATTCTGTTTTGGAACTTCAAAGTTAAGTTATAAAATGTCGATATAAAATTTTGATTTTTTTTCCAAAAATCTGGACGTCAAGGATAAAAACTCAACACGGATTCATACATCACACATGCAGAAGCATGTTATTTCATAAAATTTAAACACATTTATTCGGCAGAATTATAAAGTGTCATTTTTTTTAAATAAACAAACAAATTAACGATTTATAATGTTTCATATAATCTTCAAACTTTTAGAAAATTTTAAAGCATTCGGTTTTGCAATTTCAAAATTAAATGGTAAAATGTTATACAATTTTGAATTTTTTGCCAAAAATCTCGATGTCTTGCTTAAAACTGACACGGATTCATAAATCACACATGCAGCAGTATGTTAATTCTATAAACTTTAAACAAGGTGTCATTTTATTTTTAAATAAACAATTTAATTAACGATTTATAATGTTTGATACAATCGTAAAACTTTTAGAAGATTTTAAAGCATTCCGTTTTGCAATTTCAAAATTAAATGGTAAAATGTTATACAATTTTGATTTTTGTGCCAAAAATCTCGATGTCTTGCGTAAAACTGACACGGATTCATAAATCACACATGCAGCAGTATGTGATTCTATAAACTTTAAACAAGGTGTCATTTTATTTTTAAATAAACAATCAAATTAACGATTTATAATGTTTCACATAATCTTAAAACTTTTATAAGATTTTAAAGCATTCGATTTTGCAATTTCAAAATTAAATGGTAAAATGTTATGCAATTTTGAATTTTTTACCAAAAATCTCCATGTCTTGAGTAAAACTGACACGGAATCATACATCACACATGCAGCAGTATGTAATTCTTTAAACTTTAAACAAGGTGTCATTTTATTTTTAAATAAACAATCGAATTAACGATTTATAATGTTTCATATAATCTTAACACTTTTAGAAGATTTTAAAGGATTCGGTTTTGCAATTTCAAAATTAAATGGTTAAATGTTATACAATTTTGGATTTTTTGCCAAAAATCTCGATGTCTTGCGTAAAACTGACACGGATTCATAAATCACACATGCAGCAGTATGTAATTCTATAAACTTTAAACAAGGTGTCATTTTATTTTTAAATAAACAATCAAATTAACGCTTTATAATGTTTCATATAATCTTAAAACTTTTAGAAGATTTTAAAGCAATCGGTTTTGCAATTTCAAAATTAAATGATAAAATGTTATACAATTTTGAATTTTTTGCCAAAAATCTCGATGTCTTGGGTAAAACTGACACGGATTCATAAATCACACATGCAGCAGTATGTTAAATCTATAAACTTCAAACAAGGTGTCATTTTATTTTTAAATAAACAATCAAATTAACGATTTATAATGTTTCATATGATCTTAAAACTTTTAGAAGATTTTAAAGCATTCGGTTTTGCAATTTCAAAATTAAATGGTAAAATGTTACACAATTTTGAATTTTTTGCCAAAAATCTCGATGTCTTGCGTAAAACTGACACGGATTCATAAATCACACATGCAGCAGTATGTAATTCTATAAACTTTAAACAAGGTGTCATTTTATTTTTAAATAAACAATCAAATTAACGATTTATAATGTTTCATATAATCTTAAAACTTTTAGAAGATTCTAAAGCATTCGGTTTTGCAATTTAAAAATTAAATGGTAAAATGTTATACAATTTTGAATTTTTTTGCCAAAAATCTCGATGTCTTGCGTAAAACTGACACGGATTCATAAATCACACATGCAGTAGTATGTATTTTTATAAACTTTGAACAAGGTGTCATTTTATTTTTAAATAAACAATCAAATTAACGATTTATAATGTTTCATATAATCTGAAAACTTTTAGAAGATTTTAAAGCATTCGGTTTTGCAATTTCAAAATTAAATGGTAAAATGTTACACAATTTTGAATTTTTTGCCAAAAATCTCGATGTCTTGGGTAAAACTGACACGGATTCATAAATCACACATGCAGCAGTATGTAATTCTATAAACTTTAAACAAGGTGTCATTTTATTTTTAAATAAACAATCAAATTAACGATTTATAATGTTTCACATAATCTTAAAACTTTTAGAAGATTTTAAAGCATTCGGTTTTGCAATTTCAAAATTAAATGGTAAAATGTTATACAATTTTGAATTTTTTGCCAAAAATCTCGATGACTTGCGTAAAACTGACACAGATTCATAAATCACACATGCAGCAGTATGTAATTTTATAAACTTTAAAGAACATTTATTCGGCAAAATTGTAGAATAACGTCATCACTTTTTTGAGGGAGGGTACGAAAAAAAAATCCATTCACGATTTACGATGTTTACGGTAACCTTAACACGTTTGAAAGATTTCAGAGCATTCGGTTTTACTGTTTCAAAGTTAAATAGCAAATGGTTTTTTCCAGAAATTTGAATGCCTATGGTCAAAAATTCAACACGGATTCATAAACCACAAATGCATTATCTCATTTTATAAAATTTACATAATATTTATATTTACTAATGTATGTTTTGGAGATGACATCGTCTTATTGTTGATTAGCCAATTTTTGGTAAGCGTTTTGCTATCTATACGATATTCCTAATGCAGATATAAAATTAACAATAAGTCCAGTAGTTTCGGCAGACAGACAGACAGACGTAAATGAGAGACTTCTTTTTTCGTACTCTTGAGGTCATATGAACGTCGAGAAAACATAGAAGAGACAGTCGTCCGCTGAACTCGATTATTATAGTTCCTTGGTTACGTTCACGAAGTAAAAATCGATCAAAGTTATTTAAACACACTTTCCTTGCACCTAAACTACACACTTTAAATAGGATCCATTTCTCAAAATTTTCAGTTGACGTGATCAAAATTTTGGTGGATATAAATAAACAAATTTTAATTAGCGTTCTGTTATTAGGCTAATGATAACCTCAAAATAAATGCTAAATTTCAGAGTATTTGGTTTAGTAATTATTTCTAACAAAAATCGTAAAATTTTATTGAACTTCGTTTTTTTTTCCAAAAATTTGGACATGCAAGAATAAAAATCAGTCTAAGGTGTTCCCGAAGTATCAATTTGAATAAATGCAATCTAATATTAACAACAGAAAATCGCTTCATTCACTAATATTCTTGAGTCGCTTGTTTAACAATTCTAAATTAGAAATACGGTCCTCAGAATTCACAAACTTTCTCAAACTAAAATTAAGGCGTTCGTCCTTTATGAGGTGGCATTCGTACATACCGCTAAAATATATATATTTTTTTAATCTACGGTAAAAATACAAAGGCAGAGTCATAAACTACAAGTAAAAAAGTATGTGATTTTATGAAATTCAAATAACATTTACCACGCAAAATTTTGAGTATTTCGTAATAATTTAGGGGTGGATACCGTTTCAAGCGAACGAACTGACCACCTCCTGTATATACCAGAAGCTCTCAACCAAACCTGTCGTTAATATCGTTGAGTTATATTTTTTGTTATTTCTATTTTATATTTAATTATGTTTTATTAAACTTTATTTTATTATTTTTATTTGTCTTGTTTGATAGGCACTGGAGGAACTCAAGCTCCATGTTCAATTAGTTTTAAATTACTGGATCACTTTTTATTAATAAACTTCACTAATTCACACACTTTTAACATAAAAAAATAAAGACAATCCTAAAAACGACACGTTTTTAGCAGTCTCATCTTTAAGCATTTAGGAGCTTTTACGAGGAGTCGCTGGGTTTGGCTTAAAGAATTTGTAATACATTTTCAGAATGTTTTCACAATCTCCATGATTAACAGACTTATTTTTATGAAACTTTAAATATAATCTGTCCACAACTTTTTCTATATATTTCAATTTAACATCGTCTTTTTTTTTATTTTAGTGAAATCACGTGTTCATAAAAATCAATATCCCAGTTATTTATGGAAATTTCAGGATACGATTTTCGCCACTATTCTCAGCTTATAGAGCTCTATAAATGAAAGAAAAGCATCGTTAACTTTTTTCGCCGGAAATGAAATACAATCAAAATAGGTTGTGTTGAAGAAGCTAGATTTAACGTTACCTCATTTCCGACAAAAAAAGTCGAGAATGTTTTTCGTACGATTTATATTAGATTTATATAAGCTGAAAACAGTGGCGAAAACCGCGTTCCGAAATTTCCATCAATAATTATTGAGATATTGTTTTTTAAAGATACGTGATGAAAAATTTCATGATTAAAAAATTACCGTTATGAATCGCAAAAAATCATGACTATAACACATCATAAAAAATTTATATGTTACGTTTGAGTGTAAAAATCTGTTTATAGACAGTTTTAAAGGCATGTAACCATTTGTCTAATGATATAAAATCGATAACAGTCTAAAGGCAGTGTAAAAAGGGAGTTCAAAAATTACTAATGCACACTGACCCATCCTCTTGGAATGAGAAGTTGGATGTAATGCATAAATAATGGGAAAACCTCCATATAATATGCAGGCGTTGCCAGTTTGTAATGTTTTAATGTTGTTTTTAATGATTGTTTTTTAATGTTTTATTACTCACTTCACTAGTTTCTAATAATAGCAGTTTTATTATTATTTTCTTTAATTAACACTGTGTATTATTGTGAATACACGAGGAACGATGCTTACAATCACCTCTATCATTTTAATATTTAATAAACCCATGATAATTACTCAATTTGATATGCTAGAGGTTTAAATTTTGAATTCGCAGAATAAACTTTATCGCATTCCATATAAATTAACATTGTACTTCAATTAAGCATGCTAGATGATTAATTTTATCGAGTAAATCAAAACGGTGCAATTTTATTTTTATTTTACTGATTGTTATTCTGAAATTTAGCGTCTTTTTTCATTTTTGAAAACGATCATGGTGTCTAGCATCTACTACCTGAATAATCTGTATAAAATTTTCTTCTTAAATAGTTCCCCTATTTTCACAAACAGTTGCCATTTAGAAACGACAACCACCAGATGTTCCCTGAAGTACTTGCACCTCATGCTGACAAACCTCTGTAATTTTCAATCATGTGATAACCAACGTCACCTTATCTAAAACTTTCTAATTGGCCATATTTGCATAATTAGCTGCATATAACAACATAAACAAACTTCCACACAAAATTGGTAAAAATAAAAAAAATAAACACATTAAACATGTTAAAATACATGGCGCCACGAATATAACAGCGCAATTTATTCAAAAACGTGAAAACCAAAAATTTAGCCTTGTCATTTAATAAAAACAAAAAATAATTACCAAAATATTCTCCCTCTTCCTCATGCTTCTCCATTTCTTCCTCTATCTGTCTAGTCATCTCTTCAATTTTTCTCTCAGCCTCAGTAGGTCCCCTTGGTCTTGGTGGCGTCACGTTATATGGTAGCAAATTTTTTCCACTTATTTTCAATTTTCCAGCACTGGACGTGCTGCAAGCGCTTGGTGTTGGACTTGGAACTGGGGGCGGTCTTACTTCGACCGGCTCCTTAGCAACAGGACTCTTTGGCACAACTGGAGGCGTGGACGCTATTCCAGTTGCTGGTTCCCTATTATAGTTCTTGGCAGATGTTGTTTGGAATGGTACATTGGTACTCAAAGTGTGAGAAATGTTCCCAGTCATGCAAACATAATCACTACTATTGATTTCATCCAACTGTTGCTGGGTAAAACTCTTGTAATTTGAGTACGGGTTTTTCGCCCCAAGTTTTTGCATCGATGGATATGCCTGTTGGTAGGTTTGCGTAGGATATGGTGGTGGAGCTTGATTTGAAGGCACTTGCGGACCTGGAGTTGCACCACTGGTCTTATGCCCCAAAGACTGTAAGTTTTCATAAACAGGCAAAGCTTCTCCATCTCTAGTGACATTTCTATTGCCAGAAGGCACTTGAGGTTGAGCCTTCCGGAAACTACCTTCTGACGGGTGGTAATAAGGAGGCTGATAGTTCCGTGGGTAGTACTCAATGTTTTCATAAACTGGTGTAGGATTGGCTGCTATGCTTGTTCTAGGGCTCCCGGAATGTTGCGATGAACCACTCAGTGAATGCGTGGGGCTTGAATTCGGGGGAACTTGCGGTTTAGCGCATTGGACGTAAACATCATTTTCTTCTACTTGCTTGTGGCTGACTAAAGTTTCCACTTGCTTTGGGGTTGCAAATTTTGAACTAGCGATAATGTTGTTTCGTTCGTATAAAGTGTAGTCGTTTTTAGTTGGGGTGGGACCCTCTGCGGCGAAACTCTCGATAGCTCCAATGGATTTCTGTTTCTGATGATAAGGGGGCACCGCCGGCTCTGCTTTGCCCATGATGCGACCATATCTCGAATCACCGTTTGTGTCACTGAGGGACATGTATTGCATTTTTTGCACATAGGGCTGATCCAAAGAGGGGTCTAGATCACTTCGAAGATTCGACATTTTGTCAACAACACAATTTACACAGTTTTGAGAAATTTTTCGATTCGATCGTGTGAAAAATGGTCGCTAATAGTGGAATATCACAGGATTCTTCTCTAATGTGCGAACGGAACTAATTGTCATATTTCAAACACTAGTCATAAATAAATACTTAATAATCACGTTTACGATAAAAAACACGGTCGATGAGGTAATAAACTAACCGATAATAATAAAATGACGTACGAATGACAGATCCGCCATTAGCGTCAAAAACGCAGAATGCAAACCGCACAAACACAAAAGTCGCTACATTTTTGAATGAACATGGCTACCGCACTCGAAGATTTTTCTTCGTGGTTAAGTCGCACGTTGGAAGAGTTAAACACAGACGAGGGCATTTTCGGCTCCTACATACAAAGCATTTTGGACAGCGATGAAACATCCGAAGAAAAATTTGAAGCCCTACAAGGAATACTCGCAGAAATAATTGAAAACGTAAGAGTAGTATACGGGTCCAATTCAAACCACTTTCTGTTTTCCTTTTTAGGAAGACGAGATCACCAAGATATGTAACGAAATACTAGAAAAGTGGCAATACCACAAGCGTAAAGAGCCGCCCCCACAGCCAATCTCGACCGAAGATGTTGATACCAAACTTGTCAAGTTATTGGAGTCACAGTCGCTGGCTACGACTAAACAGAAAAAGTATACAGAAGAGGAGAAGAAAATTCGTGAAGCAATTTTGTCGCAATATTCACAAATGACTGACGATGAAGGTGAGGGGGAAGAGGGAAACGCAGTAGGTGATCACAAGGAAAATGATCTCCAGAAGAATACGAACGTTCAGTCTGTTGTTCATGCTGAGAAAATTAAACGTGAACAGGCCAAACTTGACAGCCAAAGAAAAAAAGAAAAAGATAAGGAAGACAGGGAGAAGCAGAAGCAGCTGAGGGAGGAAAAGAAAGAGAAACGAAAGACTCAAAAAGGGGAAAGGAGAAGGTAGCAGCATTAAAAAAAAATGATTTTTTTTTGTTTTGTTCGTTTGGATTGTTTTATTATGAAAGAATTATGAACATCTGTTTGAGAGAAGTTGATTTTTACAAGTTTATGAGGGGAAATGACATTATTTTTATAAAATATGCAGTCATGTCAAGCCATTTTTTGTGGATTAACCTCGTATTTTTTTAAATAAATGCCAGCTTCCATTTTGTGTGAAAAATATTGTTTTATTGTAGTGCATGTGAAATATATCAAACATGAACATTTTATCTAAAAAAAAAGTTTGAAGTTACAAGAGAGACTTAAAGAACAAAAAATAAAATTTCTGTGTAAATGGTGCGTGAACATTTAATTTTTGTATGTACATGATTCACAAGTAAAGACTGAATTACAGCAACAATATATTCCACCATATATTTTTTTTAATTATTTAAATCTTAACAGAATGTTATAAAGATGATGTATTAAATTTATGAAGGCTTCAAGCCAGTCGCAGTTAGAAGTGTTACTTGAAATTTAAAGATAATTTATGATCGAACCTTCTTGACATTTTCTCGAGTACTTGCTCAACTTTTGTATAGATTCTTTGTATTAATAACTGTGGTGGTTGTTGGCCTAAAAGTCACGTTTTATCCTGATAAAAGAAGAAACGCCGTTTTAGAGTTTTTGTGATTTTCACCCTTATGGCCATTGTCTTAAGCAGTCAAGAGTTGCAAATGGTTCTTCACCGCGGTCATTCCAGTGGCGTACTCAAAACTGCTAAGTCACGAAAGCAAACAACACAGACATTTTCAGTGAGATAAAATTGCAGTAGAAGGCTTTTTATAATGACTTTCATTTTTTGAATGGCTGTCATTTTAATGCTCTTTTAATTTTCACTATACGTGCTAAGCTTTACTTTGTAAAAAATATATACCAATCACTTTACAGCACTCATCAGAAGACACACCCACTCCCCAGTTTTAACGTTTATAGGGTTGGAAATAAAGCAATTATTTAGAGGTAAAATACTAGGTTTTATCGTACGTAAATAAAGTTTAACGTAAGCCAAGAAATAATAAGGGACATTAATTTAAAAATTTTAAATGAGATGGAATAAGATTTTATGTAGTTCATTCCAAACCCCTTTTTATTGTTATTATTCTTTCCCAAGTTTCAGTAGATCTGTGTAATAATAAAGCTGAAAACACAGTTTATGACAACTTGGACTAATATGGTACATTCCACTGAGGAGCGTAATGCTCTGTGGCAGCCGATGAAATTTTGCGTGAAGCAGTTTGATGTTTTAATGAACATTATCCAGAAAAACTAATTTGTAGAAAGCATCTTTAGAGAATTGGAGACTTTAAAAGTGTTAAAAGAGGTTGAAATTCAAGTAAATGCGGAAGTAGGGATGAATCCTGAACAAAGTTTTGCCTGATATTTGTTTCTGACGACGAAAATACATTTTTACTTCGCGAATGTAAGCTATGGCCAAAAAACCTGCCGCATATTATACGCTCTACCTCCTCATAAAGTTTACAATTTAACATTGGTTAGGGCAAATTGACATGTGAGAAAATCGTCAACTTTAACTAGAAACCTAGATCTTATACCTTTATGCTAATTATTATACTCGTTGAAAGGAGACTGTGGCGCCGAATGCGATTCGTTTTTGTTTGAATAATTGTCCTGCAGTAAAATTACAATCTAAATTTAAGGTACTCCTCTTTTTTTTTCACGTCTTCACAGTCACACTCCACTACAAACAACAAGTGCCAAAACAAGAACTGAGTGGCCTTGACCTTCCAAAAATCTACTTAACTAACAACCTAAGGTGTTTTTTTTTTGAGCATGAAATTTAAACTTAAAATCAGGACACCACACGGCCTACTGGAGGAGTTTTTTTCGATAATATGGTACTAATAATAATTAATAGGACTGTATTAGGTAAAGAGGTTTTGAATTAATTAACAAAATAAATTTGCTCATGTTTTTAGACACCTGTACAAACAATAAAAAAAAGAATGCACTGACTATACATTTTAAATGGGATTTATTTAGCAAAATTCTGAGATTACGTCATCGAGTTTTTGGGAGGGGGGTATAGACGGATAAATTTTGATTAACCGTTAACAATTCTCCAGGTGGACCCTATTGCAATAGCTTACGTTTGGGAAATAAAAATACTGCAAAAACCACATTTTCGTCCTTATAATAGTGTTTCTTTTCGGGACGCTGTCCGTAAAAAGAGAAGGCTTAAATGCTAGCTAAACTGCGTTAAATTATTCTAGATTGATGTGTTCATTTATCTTTGGATCGTACATCGACGTGTATACTTGATAATTTTTGATTGATATTTATGCTGGGTGTTTACAGTTGTGACACTGTCAACAGTTTATTTTTTGAAGTTAGAGAGGTTACCATAAAAAAATTAAATTCGCAAAATCGAGTGTTGTAATTTGACAAAAAACTTGGATTCATAAAATGTGCTTCAGGAGCGAGGAAAGTTCTGTCTAAATAGCTTTAGAAGAAGTGGTTTACATGTAGTAGTAAAAATAAAATTGGGTTACTTTTGAAAAGTACTGTATGTTGCTACTACAAAAATTTACCATCTTGTTGCCAAAATAAGTTTACACATATTAAGAAAAAAAGTCAAAATGTAGCCCCGCCCACCCGCCCTATCTTTTTTTTTATTCGCCGTGAGCCAAGGGGGGGAAGCTGAACTGCAAAATCCTTATTTCTCAACGAGAAATTAAAAACACGTTATTGAGTATCGTTTTGTTCAAAGAATACTATGTAATTAAGACAAATAAAACCAAAGATTAGACCCCACCCATACCCGCCTAGATCTCAATTCTCAGTTGTGCTGAATTTTTCATTCGTTGTTAGTATTGTGTTCGGTACATTACAGGTATAAAACTCAATAACGAGACGTCAGATTATTGTAGGTTTATTCGCCGCCATGATGCCACCGTGTCTGTGTGTGGCGTGGTCATGATACAAGTAAATATGGTATGGACATACGCAGGTTTGCTGACGTCACCTGGCTGTATTCAGGCGGGAAATTGAAATATTTACCGAGCCCAACTAAAGTCACTAGATCTACTTTTAGAAAGTACGGCAAACTGCCTGTGGTCGGAATTCGACAGAGAGGAACCTAACCTATGTGTTAAACAAAGATAGCGCGAGGCTAGTAATTTTCGCTATCTGTCAACGAAAGGTTGATGTGTTTACGATTTGAGGTTACGACAGACTGTACTAGAATTATTGAGTTAACGGACCGGAAAGAACACTATTCCAGTCCCAAAGTAACTCCAGCCCTATTCAACGAGAAAGTGTCACCGGTAACCAGCAAACAGTCGTGGAAGACGTGTTACCACCAAGGCAATTGACGGCCAAATGACAGTAACAGGATCGCCATACTGGAAGCAAAAAATACCTGCTGTCGAAAAGACGGAGCATAACAAGGACACAGATATTTTCTTATTATTTGCTATCATCCCCGCTATTTTTTTAACAACGCTAGGTCGCTAGCAAACCACCAATTTGTTTTTACGCATCAGTTTGGTAACAATAAACAATAACCCTCATAACCACAAAAACTCATAACTGCCTCATAACCCTTAAAATTGATATTTGACATCAGATGTCAACACAGAAGTGGAAGGTCATTCATTCCACATGACGTCAGATAACGTTGCGCAGAAGAAGACGAATTTTGGTTCATGGGATGTCCATACCATATTTACTTGTATCATGGGCGTGGTGGGGTTATGCAACCTCTTATACACAAATGCTTACACATATACTACATATCTCCTCCCTTATGTTCGAAACTAATTCTAAATATCCTTGTTAATACAAAATAAGAATAATAACCTTAACTAACAATAAAAATCAATAAATACAACTATACATATGAATATTCGATACTAGCGCTCGTCCATAACAAAGTCTGTGAATTTGTTAGGCAGCTTCACAATTCTGATAGGTCTATTATGATTTGTTCTCGGGTTGCTGGCTGGCTCAACGTGTGCATCCGGCAAACTTCGATCTGGAACATGGTGTGAAATTTCAGGCTCTATTCCAGATTCTGCAGAGGGACCCGGAGAGGCTGAGCTACCTGGAGGAATATCAGGAGTGGTGGGAATTGGTGAAGGATTAGGGTATTTTATTGGAATACCGACCCTGGTCGTTGGTGCATTTGTTTTGATACTGACGTTTTCGTCCGCTTTATTGCTGACTGCCTCTATCCTCCCTTTAATTTGATTTGGGTGTCTTTTCCAAATCATTCCGATCTTAGTTTTGCACATATACGTCGCATTTGCTATCTTATTAACTATCGTAGCTTCCATCCATTTATTTGTTGACCTGTAGTCTCTAACGATTACTTTATCATTGACCTTGTAACTCCGTACTTCGCGCTCGGCCCGTGTTTTGTTAGTGTTTGTCAAATAGGGTTTCTTCTCTTTCAACATGCTCACTCTGGTGTGCAACTTTCTACCAAACATGGCTTCAGCTGGCGAAATGCCTGTTGTCGTATGTGGAGTATTTCTGTTAATCATTAGAAATCGTGCCAACAATGTAGATATTGGCACGTCTTTATTTTTTTCGTCTACTAGTGCGGCCTTTAATTTGTTTTTCACAGTTTTTACAGCATTTTCTGCGAGACCATTGCTTTGTGGATTATAGGGTGAGATTGTCAAATGCTTGATGCCGTTTCTATGAAAGAACACTTCAACTTCTTCAGACACGAAGGTTGGACCGTTATCTGATACTATTGTTCGTGGTAGTCCGAACCTCGAAAAACAATCGCGTAACATTTCGACGGTAGTTTTGGAGGTTATGTTTTTCATTGAGTAAACCTCGATCCATTTTGTACAGCTGTCAATAATTACCAAATAATCCCTTGCTTTGAATGAGAAGAAATCTATGTGTACTACTGAAAATGGGATGCTAGCTTCAGGCCATGGAATGTTTGTTTTTGGGGGATGTGCTGCTACAGACAAGCATGGTGCACATGCTTTGCACATAGTCTCTATTCGCTTATCTATACCTGGGAACCACAAGTAAGATCTAGCCATTGACTTCGTCCGCACTATCCCTTCGTGCGTGGCGTGTAGCTCTGTTAATACTATGTCTTGCATGCTGGATGGTATTACAATGCGGTCACCATAATACAAACAATCATTTTCTACATACAAATCTAACTTACGATTGTGATATGCCTTTATTTCCTCATCAATTCTATTAGGCCACTGTGTTTGAACGAAACGTGCTATCTTTTTTAGGACAGGGTCGTTTATAGTTTCTTCACGAACCATCATGTTATCTAGAGGTACTTCAAGATTCGCAAAATAAATATTACTATCGATATGCTCTTCATGGTCCACAACTTCCTGTAATGGCAATCGTGACAGGCAGTCTGCCACTACGTTATCGCTTCCTTTTATATGTTCAATTACGAAGTCGAAATTGGAGAAATACAAAGCATATCTTTTGATTCGATTTGCATTTGGTTTTCTGGGTTTGTGTTGGTTTCTTCCCCGGAAGTTGCCTAGTTTACTGTGACCACTGTATACTGCCTTAATTCTGTCCTCGCTTCCTTTACCAGTGGTGTACGCTAACGCCAACTCCTTGCTGTTGGCAATTTCGATTAACTTCTCGAGACTTTGACTGACTGGTTCTTCCACTAGTCGGTCCATAACGGGTCCCTCTCGCATTCCCGACACGAACCGATCAACCAGTGTCTCTTGGAGGTGCTCAAACTTACAGTTGACCGCGAGATTTTTTAATCTTGCATACCATTCATTAGAACTTTCTTCGGTGGTTTGGTGGGCTCGGAAGAACTGAATTCGTTCCCTAAACACGTTTACTTTTGGACTGAAATGCTTTTGGAGCTCCTTTTTCAGCTCTTCTAAAGACTTGTCCTTGGGTGGAATTGGAAATGATAAATCGCGAAGTATCTTGTATACATCCGTTTCCATCTGACTTAGCAACAGGGCAACTTTGCATTTTTCGTCCACGATTTTGTTCACGAGGCAGAACTGTTCGAACCTTTCTTCGAAAATCGTGAAGTCACTGTCCGGTGTGAACGTAGGGATAATGCCGATGTAACTAGCCATGCTTGAGAGTGCTTTTCAGAACGGTTAGACTTTCTCACCTTTTCCTCCCCTTCTTGCGTTGAAAGTTACTCCCTTGTATTCATAATTTGCTCGTCGCCATATATTGTGTTCGGTACATTACAGGTATAAAACTCAATAACGAGACGTCAGATTATTGTAGGTTTATTTGCCGCCATGATGCCACCGTGTCTGTGTGTGGCGTGGTGGGGTTATGCAACCTCTTATACACAAATGCTTACACATATACTACAGTTAGATCGAGGGGCGGGGCTTAATTGGAAGAGCCATATTTGTCTTTTAGAAGAATTTACCATTTTAAACATGTTTTAAGTTTCTTGTCCTGAAAAGACGACTACGTATAAAAAGAAAAAAGGCAAAATATAAACCCCGCCCACCCACCCTATCTCAATTGTGATGATTTTTTCAATCGTCGAGAGCCAAAGGAGCGGAATTTAATTACAAAATCCTTATTATTTCTTTACAAGAAATTACCATGCAAGACGTGTTGTTGAGTATCGTGTTATTCAAAGAATACTATGTGTATTAAGAAAAAAATAAAGCCAAAGATTAAGCCCCACCCACACCTGCCCGGATCTAAATAGTAATGAAGTTTTCATTCGTTGGGAGACCTAGGGGCGAAGCCTAATTGCAAAATCCATATTTACTTACAAAAATTTACCATTTTAAACGTATTTTGTGGGGTGGGTGGGTGGGGGTTAATATTTTGCCTTTTTTCTTAATGTACATAGTAACTATTATTTGAACAACACGATAGTCAAAAACATGTTTTTACTTTTTTGTAAAGAAATAAGTATTTTGCTGTTAAGCTCCGCCCCCCTGGTTGATGGCAAATAAAAAAAATCATCACAATTGAGATAGGGCGGGTGGGCGGGCCCATTATTGCAAAATCCATATGTCCTTGCAAAAATGTATCATTTTAATCATGTTTTGAGTTTCTTGTTGTGAAAAAATGGCTGTGTATATTAAAAAAAAAAGGCAAAATATAAGCCCCGCCCACCCGCCCTATCTCAATTCTGATGCTTTTTTTATTCGTCGTAAGCCGAGGGGCGGAGCTTAATTGTAAAATCCTTATTTTTCTACGGGAAATTACCATGTGAGATATGTTCTTAAGTAATCGTGTTATACAAAGAAAACTACATGTATTAATTAAAAAAGAAAACCAAAAGAGAAGCCCCACCCATCCGTTTCGATCTCAGTCGTGATGAATTTTTCATTCGTTGTCAGACCGAGGAGCGGAGCCTAATAGCAAAATTGATAGTTTCCTACAAAAATGTATCAATTCAAACATGTTTTACCTTTCTTGTTGTGAAAAGAAGACTACACATATTATAAAAAAGGGCAAAATGTAAGCCCTTGTAGTACCTAGTCTGTTTTTGAGACGAATAGCAATAAATCTTGTTGAGAACTATCTTCAACAATGCATAAATACTGCCAGAAAGCTACAGTGTAGAAAATGATGGTAGCTATTTAAAATATGGGGGTTTCGGTGAGCAGGTAATTAAATGGCTTAATATTAGTGCAATTTGATTGGTTGAAAACCCAACTTCAACGGAAACGTAACAGCAAAAGTTGGTTATCTCGAACGTAACCTCAACGACGTGACAACTATCAACGGCTACGGCAACGGATGGTATAAACGACGCATACCTTCGTTGCGCATTTATCTTACAACGGCAACGTCAACGACGAACAGCAACGTCGTGGCAAGTTTATAAATCGACCTTTATTCGTCAAGGTTGAAATAAAAATATACATAAATACCTCGCAAGTTATTTAATCTCAAAAGAAATGTTATAACGTCACAGCAACCTTTAAAACAATTTTATTGTTTCAACTAGGGACAAACTATAAAAATTCGCTTATTGGAATTTTTTTTTCTTTTTAATTGTCTATAATCAATAAAAAAAATCAGGCATATTTCTTGGCAAATATTTACTTAATAGTTGTTGGTGATGACGACATAAATGTCTGAAAGGGAAAGAAAACGTACAACCGAGTTCTCAAATCTCTAAATCACTGAGCGTTCCAAAAGAATTCCATAACATTGTTAGATAAATAACATTTTATTGTATAGAATTTTTTATATATAAAGTAATGACTCAATTACTGAACTGCAGATCCAGACCCATCCGCACGCCACTGTTACATTCAGACATGTATTCCTGTATTCCAAAGTGGGAATGAGAGAAGTAAATCTTATTTTCAGTAATATAAAAAAGTCACTACTTAGCGATTTATCACCTTCAGGAAAATCGCAGTCTTAATTGATTTCGCAGTTTCTTTTTGATTAGCTAAGTCCTCCCTCAGTAGTCAGTACAACAGTGACAGACTCGCGATAATGGGAAAACTACATTTTCGTGTCTTATGAGTTACAAAATACCAAGAAAATAAGAAAAATGGGATTCATCATTGCAAATGAACTACAAATATTCTCATTTTAAATTTGATTATAGTTATATAATCAGTAATGTAGTACATTTATTAGATATTAGATATATCTGCTACTCTACTACCCTAAACCCTAAAACTACGGTGGTTGATCTGTTCGTCATGTTATTCGTAACCAACTGCAGATGATTTATTTTAAATTACCACCCTTGTGCAGAAAAATCGATGCAGAACAGGAATTCCAGGTCATTTGGTCATTTGGTCATTGGTCGATCAAATCAGAGGCGGACAGGCACCATACTGAATTCAACTCTTCTAAATAAAAAAAATAATTGAACTTGTTATACAAATCATAGAAATTTGAAATTTCACCCTCTGCATCTTTTTTATACTTAAAATAAGCACCCCACGCCACTGGCAGAGCTAATTTTTTTTACGGTACCTCACACTGATAGTTCTAGAAAATCTTGCTTCATTTAATTAAAGTAAATAGGCCATCAAAACAATTAAACGATTGTGTTTGTATAAAAATTAGTCTACCCGTATCAACGTTCCCATTTTCATCAGTTGTGACCGGTAACAACAATAACGCCATTATTTCTGACTCCCTATAAATCAAATCTTAATGGAGCTTCACATAATTCCACGGAAACCCACCTACTGGGCGCTTGTATACCATTGGACATTCACGTGTAAATCAACTGCAGGACAATTAGCCCAAAGGGATTTACTTTATGAAACATGACAAAGGAATTATGGCAACAATGTGGTTCTAACACTTGTAATGAGTGCCTTAATCCATGCTTTTGTGGCACTTCGCAGCTCGTTTGGTACCTGCAGATATTGGCAGGTTTTCTCTTTTCGTCTGTCTATAGTCTGGACTCCATGTTTTGATGAGTTCATTCAACTACGAAATTCTAGGGACTGTGAAGTGATAACGACATGTTTTTTACCTGAGGTTTTAACAATAATCTACTTCTATTTTTAACTTTAATTATGCATACGGTTATCTTAAAAAAGAATATATTTTAAACTGGGTCTGAACAATCGTGTTGTATATATGTACCTATGTTTTGTCACAGATTCTACATAAAGGAATCCCTAATAGTTTTAATACTCCCAAAACATTAAAGTTGATTTACGAATTACACTAATTAAATTTGGTTACATGTTAATTCATTTGTAACAAATATGCATCTTTGGAAATTTAGCTGCAATAAAATATTGAGGCTGTAAAACGTAGAAACCTAAATTTATTCTCTTTATGACGCTTAAATTTCTACCATTGTTCATATTAAAATTAAAATTATTTTTTTTATTCTGTTTGAAACGTTATAGACTGAAAGGTTTGTTAAATTACATTGGGATAAGGTACTTCATTCGTTTTTGAGTTTATTAAATTTATTTCTCCTTGTAGATATTTTATAGTAGCTCACTTTTCTAAGAGTACATGAATATATGGCAACAATACAGTTTTTAACCACTAAATTAATAAAGGGGTGTACGAAGGCGTTTCCTACCCCCATAAATCACTTGCATGTGCTCAGATTTTGAAGGCTAACAGATCCGGCTCCAGACATGTTCAGGTGTTCATATCTAATATCAATATCATTTAACAAAACAAAGTACATGACAATGTAGGCATTTTTATTTACTCATTATAAATTTGTTGAATAAAACCGTCATAAAATAAATCTGAGTAAAAAAATGATAAAATTATAAATTATAAATAATTTTTAATCAAAACGTCCAAGTGCATCCCCTCATACAGCTATATAACCTTAGAAAGTGTGGATTACTATACACATATTTTAAGTGAAAAAATGGAAAATAGGAACGCCCTCTTCACGATAAACGAAGCAAAAACATTTAAATTCAATGTGTTCTTAACGGCAATTTACTTTAAAATTTGACATTAACATCAGTTGGTCATTTAAACTTTCTACAAAAAATAATGTGATATCCGCGACTTAATAACAAGTAAAGTCACCCAAATACTACAAGGTTAGGTATATTTTTCGAAACATGAACAAACAAATTGTATTTGGTTTAATGTACCAAAAATGTTTAAGCGGATTCCCAGCAATAGCAAGATAGTGAGACAAATCCTTGATTTATGACGCTAGGCTTGAGCCGGTAACCAGCCGCACAAAAGGAATTATAACATCCCACTGTTAACTTTAGTGGGGCCATATAACTTTGCAGTATTTGGGACACTATACAACAAACCACGTCCTCAAGTTGGCTTTTGGTTTGCCTTTAGAGGGAATTTCTGCAATAAGTCGCAGTTTTATAACAAACTCTGAACAAAAGAGTGGAAATAACTGTCGATATTTATTTAATTATTTAAATCTCTCGGAATTTCGAAAGAGAAGATGGAATTCTACCTTAATTCAATTTCTCGCTGGACATAATATGTGGACATGGCAATCTGCCAGCGGCTGTCAAGTGCAGCCGAATGCAGCGCTCATTATTCACAACTGTGGAACTGTGGGTTTTTGCTAAGTGATGTGCTTATTGTTGGCTCCATAATACTCAAACTTTACGAGTGCTACACAGCTTTAGAGAATTTGCAAAAAGATATTTCTTAT